CCTAATTACATCTACAACGAGCGCGATCCACGGGCCAAGAAAACCTATGGTGGCAGAAGGATTGATTGGTACAACTGGAATGAGTATTATCCCGGCTTTGCGTGTCGATGTGCAGAAAAAGCTAAGGCTCAAGGATACGACCTTTTTGGTGTTCAGTTTTACGGTGAGATTTAAATTGAACTTCTTCCATTTATGATGTAATACAGCAAACCTTAAATTATTTCTTTAGTTTATCATTTGTCATTATACAGCGCTCTGTGTCGAGGATGAGGCTGGCTCCTTAAGTTTTTTTTTATGCGCTGAATCTTTACTTTTTGTCCTTAGGAGAATGTTGGGCTGGACATAGTGGAAAAAACAACTATTTAAAGTATGGCGAAGATATGAAAGGATGTATTGAGGACAGTTTCTTGACATGCACTCCATATAGCCGTTACTGTGTGGGTAAACAGTGGCGCAATATGGTATATCAAATTGGTAAGTTTAGGTTCACTTCCTGGCCATATTTTGGGAAGACAAGAGTCAGAAGGTTGTAACCAATGAACCGAGACCGAGCCACACGGGAGACTCAAGCAAAGACGGTGGAGAAAAAAGGTTTAAATTAAAAAGAAACTACTGGAGTTTGGCAGAAAAAGTATAAGATTTACGCCATGTAGATTCTTCATATTTGCGCGTTTTCATCACCTGCGCTATGTTTGTTGAATCAAAACGAAAATCAAACCCCAAAGAGGGGCGGGGTGACGGGTTCCTTTAGACCTCCCAGATAAGCCCTTGATTGATATCATCTCATCTATTTTGTGTTTGTTTTTTCTGATATCACAGTGGATGCTACATGCCCTAAGATCAACTTCGAAAGGGTTGGCTGCTTCGGAGATAAACACCAACCATTCGCAAGACCACTACCAGACTATCTTTTCAACGACAGGGATCCCAGCATTGATAACTTCAGCGGAAGGAGAATCGAGTGGCGAGCCTGGGATATTTATTTACCAGAATTCGCTTGTAGATGTGCTGAGGCGGCGAAGAAAGCAAATCACACTTTCTTTGGAGTGCAGTTCTACGGTAAGTGTAAGAAACCTTGCATTGGAGTTTTATTCACAGCGGTACTGGCTTTTTCTCGCTTGTTGGCGAACTTAAGCTGCATAGGTTGCAGTCAAAACGTTAGCAAGAAGCGTCTATGACAAACCCTCAACCTGAAATCTTACCTCAGAGGCCAAATCACATGTCCTAGTGATTTATGCGTTCATCAAGGATTATTCTTTTGACCTCATGAATTAATCTCAGCTTCCAAACTTTTAACCGTAGTCTTGACTCAACAATTCTCTATGCTTGTGCTGTTTGTGTTAAATTCGTTGTCTTTGTCTCAAAGGAGAGTGCTGGAGTGGTCTCAACAGCCATATGACCTACGACATCGATGGCCCACGACAAGGTGGCTGTATCAACCCGTGTTACCAGCCCTGTGCCCAACACAACAAGTTCTGTGCCGGAAGAAACTTTGAAAACTTTGTGTATAGAATAGGTAAGAACTTAGAGAACAAAAAAACAATGCAGTTTTGCTTCCCATCATCATAAAGGATGTATGCCAATTTATTAAGGGGGTAAGTTTCTAACGAAACTGTGGTGCTGCGTTGGTGGGAGAGTATAGCAGGTAATTTAGTGTTAACAACTGGGTTGAAAACATAAATTGGCTACCGTCACGGTAAAGGGTAAAAAAGCTGACGTTTCGAGCGTTAGCCCTTCGTCAGAGCGTTCGTATACCAATTTATTACCTACCGTGGTCTGGATCCCAAAGGGTAACAGAACCCTTCTAGAATTATCTTGAAATGTGCCATAAATTTTAATGCAAGCACCATCATTTTCTAATACTTAGGAACCCCTCCGCACATACGCGACATAGCTAAATGGTGGGAACGCGCGGTTCACAAACAGCTATTACTTTGTTTGGCGTAAAACTCATCATCTAAATCAACAAACCCTTTTCGAACAGATCACAAAAGCATGAAAAAAAAAGGACTAAGTTTATGTCACGCTAAAATATTCGCGACAGATGAAGGAAAATGTCCTGAGGTTAAGAGGGTCCAGGAGGGCTGTTCGAAGCTGAGTTTAAAGGGCTGAGATAGAATACTATGGTTCCTTCTGCATACTTCTCATTTACAACTGATGCATGCGTGCTAATTTAGGCGCCCAGAAGACGTTTTCGATGACCAATTTTCCTTACTTGATTGTGTACAAAAGAAGCGTTTCCGAAGTTTATGTAGCAATAAATTTGCTTATTAGTTTTCGAACCAGTTCGTTTTTTGTGGCAATGAAAACTGAAGGTTATTTCACGTGCATGATTTACCACCTGAAAGTGTTTTACAGGGATCAAATATCTGCGCATGTACTGGTATGCTCGAAGAAAGCAGGAATTAAAAGGAGTTTTCGCCCCCAGTACTTTTAAGAATTATTTACCACCACTTACTCACGCTTGTCATCAATTCTCCCTTTTTATTCGAGAATGATAAAATGTATTCATTCTTGTCCGTTCGTTTATCTCGCTGATTAAACTTTGCTTTGTTGGCTCTTTCGATTAAGCAACTGTTATCATGGCTTCTTTTATTATTCATAAAAATTTCAATTTACTTTCTTTATCATCTTCTAGTGGACGGTTCATGTGAAGTAGATATCAGCCCCGTAGGTTGTTACAAAGAAGACTCTGCGATTCCCGCCATGGGAGAAATCTTTCACAACGAAGCTGCACCAGATAAGCCAAACTTTGTCGGAAATATGATCCAGTCTGTTGATAATTATGAAGCTTACTTCCCAGATTTCCTATGCAAGTGCGCCAGGAAGGCAAGAGAAAACGGCTGGGAGTATTTTGGAGTCAGAGAACTGGGTAGGGAAATAGGAAAAATATCTGATGGTTTTCTTGTTGGAGAATTAACGATTTCGTGACTCGTCAATGCCGGCGCTACATGTTTGCGAGGGACACCAGCGTGAAATTCGCAACGTGGGATTGGAAACGATAAGCCTAGCCTTTTCGAAAACGGTGCTCGATCTCTGATTGGCTTTCAGTGATCATTACTTCGTTCTGATTGGCCATAGTAATTATTGGTTAAGTTTTATATACCTGGATCAAATTTCTCTATTTTCCCCTGCGTTGATTTTATTTTTTTGTAGGAATATGCGTACGAGGGAATCCCCCATCGAATTACGCCCGACACGGACCGTCCCAGCAGTGTTTTGTGGGAAATAGTTCCATAGCTTGTCCAAACGGTTCCAAATTGTGCAGTGGCTTAAATTCAGAGGCTAACTACGTATACAAAGTAACCCTTCCAGGTGGGTGCAAAGTGTCCCTGGAATTTCCATCAATCTATGATGTTATTCTGTTCCGAGTCTGCCTCTGTAAGCTATACAAATCTTATCTACAATATTATTTCTTTAGTTTCTTTCGCGTACAGTTTTTGCTATTTTGTTGTATCACAATACGAGATGATCGAGTCAAGTATTCGTTATTACATTATTTTGCCGTTTTAGTCACTTTGAAAACAATTCTTTCCACCTGTCTCAAGAAGATTTCCAACCTCTGATTTTCTCTATCTTCATCATAGGCAGCGAGTCTCGGTAGTTTAGATCACAGCGTGATTTTCGTCAATTTTTTAATTTTCTTTTTAAATCTTAGCCTCCGTTTCTTTAAATCTCTGCATCTGAATCTAATTTTGGTCGCTAATCTTTCAAAAATTTTCTATCTTACACTGTTAAGGCGAGAATGACAAGCTCATCTGATATCGGATCATTTGAAGACTCGCGGGTTGGGATTAAAGTCCAAAAGAAAATTGAGCCGGCAAAATTTATTCAAAACAGAATTAAAGTCATGCATTAAGCTTTCAAAATTTTTACCCAACAGGAGAGACCCCAGTAAGAGACGTGGCTCAAGATATTCCAGATGAACCTCCTAAGGTAAACATTCCACCGCCGATCTTTATGCGAAGCCAAAGGCACCCCAAAGCAAAAGCTCGCCTATATGGAAAAAGGCTTTTGTGAAGCCTCAATGTCTTAACACGCGAAACGGACCTACGGGAGCTTATCGATTGATTAAAGAATGTACGTTAAAAATAAAGACTTCGACAACGAATAGCTAGCCTTCTTTTAACTTAAAGCTGATGTAAAGGAGTTACGAGCAACAAGTTAAATGTAAATGATAAAGAGTAATGGGTGTGTATTAAATTATAAAAATTCCGTCTTGAGCTCTTGAGCACTATCGCTTTGTAGGAACGAACTGATCTTTCAAACGGATTCTTTGAGTTACTTTTTTGTCGCTTGGCGGCTTTCGCTTCATTTGGTACCAGCTAAAAGCCCCGAGATTTTAAAGAGCCATTTCCAAGATCCCTCTCAAGTTTCTCTTGAAAAATGCGCTATGAATTTTAAATTTCAATCGGTAGCTGAGAAAATTAATGCACTTGTTCATAAGTCTTGGAGAATGCTTTGAACCAGATGGCAATGGATTCAAGATGAGAGGAAATAACGTTCGACAATTTTTGCCAAAAATTTGGTTTTATCAACCGAGTTGATAAATGTAAACTAGCCACCGTTGAGAAATCTGAGCTGACGTGTCTAGCGTTAGCCCTTCGTCAGAGCGTAAGATAAAGGCTAACGCTCGAAGCATCAGGCTTTATAAACTCTTTACGGTGGCCAATTTACATTATCAACTAAGTTGATAAAACCAAATCATCTTATGGTACCCTCCGGCGACCGAGCACCATAAACTTACCCTCTATGTTCAATTGTTTCAAACAACATTCTTCTAAAAGCTGGTAAAGTTTCCTTTTTTCTGAAATAACCCAACATTTCCGACCCAAATTTTATTGACGAAGCCGATTCTACTGATTCTAGGACAAGAAAAACTTTGACTCCTAAGAGATTGAAGGGCCTTTTAGAATTGATACACAATTTTCAGTTTACATAAAGTATCTACTAAACGTGTTAGAAGCGCTGGCTCAAGGATATTCCCCGGTATAGGAAAATTATCTAATAAAAAGCACGTATTATTAGCTTACTGGGAAGACGCGCGTACGATTACCTTTTTACATGGAAATGAAGGAAATGCCTTTTATATCAACGCGTGCGAAATCCATGCAAAGATACACAAGTCGCCTAGATAAATATCTGACAAGACTTAAGGCGAATCCCTTTCATAAAACGAAGAATCCACAGGTAGGTTCGTAAAATTATCTTTCGAAGATTGTTCTTTTTTTATTGATCCTTGATATCTGTGCTGGCCACTTATGGTAAGGCCTCACAGAATTGGTAGGATATTGGTAAGGATTAATGAATTATGTACCGGAAGTCGAGTCATAGACGGAAGATGATAATGATAATAATAATAATAATAATATTAATAATAACAATTATGATAATGATACGTCATTTATTTAGCGCGATTTTTAGTCATTTCCAATTGCGCTTTACAATTTATTTTATAATGTAAAACACTGAAAAATAATTTCATGTACAGTAATCATGTACATGTAATCACTTAAGTTTCTTTAGACTTGTAAGCCAACTCACTCTCACCCAGGTGAAAGGTTTATATAGACCATTTTTCCTAGATGGGCACATGACAGCTTTTCAGTTTAATGACTGGATATCACAATGAAAATCTGCCCATCAGAATCTGCTTTTGATTAAAATGTTTTTTATTGTGATGCTTTTAAGGGAATCATTGAAATGATGACCAGTGAAAATCCATTGGCATTTGATCTGCTAAAGGAGAAGGTATTTAACTATATCCAATGATGTTTAGTATGCATTTGACTTTTAACTGGTATATAAAATTTGACTTCCAGTCTTCCTTTGATCTTTGTGCATAGAAGAGAGAGAGTAAAATGTTTTGAAAATACAGGTGAATGGACCAAAGACATTGAATGTTGATGTGAAATTCTTGGCCGCAAACTTGACAGAAAACTGTACAGTTTTTCTCATCAATGCTTTAACTTTTACATGAAATGACTCTTAAAGGATGACTTAAGAGTATATCACATGTATGAGATGCTGTCTCTAAAATATGTGAAATACTTTTCATTATTTGTCATTTAAATATGTGTAACTATAATAAGCTTTCTGATTAACTTTAGTTGTATGACTCCAAATGTGACATCTGTTGTTAGTTTTACAGTCACTGTGTGAAAATGTATTTCATGAAAACATGAGCAGACTGAGTTTTTTTTCAGTTAGAGGAAAAGGAATCATATAATATACTTCAAGAACATACACAATATTTTTGCTGTGAAGGATTAGAAAGGCAAGGCACCTTTTTTAATACTCAACTGACTTTTTAAGTTCAGTTTAAAGTAATTGTTCTTTCTGGTTTGACTTAAATACTTTTACTGGTAGTTTGGAAAAAAAATTATTTGATTATGTGGAGAAGAATGTTTCTGAAATGTTTCTGAATCTCTTTTATACAGTTTTAGAGAAGCAATAGCAGACTTTTTAAACCATTACATGAAACCTGTGGAGCCTATTCTTGCAGAGAATGTATGTATTACAAATTATCTCATTTTACATTTTCTTAATATGTTTTTCAATTCAGAAAGGAAAACTAAATAAAAGCACATTAACAAACATCGATGGTCATCTTGGTAAAGGTCACTCAGCAGACTGGCTGATTTCCACTATATTTTTGACAGTTAAACAAAGAATTATCCATTTTTTGAATATTAAAGCTGGAACAGAAATTGGGTTGACAAATTGAGAAATTTGAAAGCATGATTAAATTTATCATTGAACTCAATCAAGGCCAAATCATTTTATTGACAACAACTTAATAAAAAGAAATATCATAAAAGTTACACTTATGACAGGATTTCAATGCATATATATGTTATACAACTGTACCTATAGGTCACTGATTGCTTATGAAAAGACTTAGTCCCAATTTAAAGAAGATTTGTGTTATCTCTGTCTTCAGTTGATTGTTTCCAATGGATGCACACCAATATTGGATTCCCTAGGATATGTAATTGCTGATGCAGGAGGTAAGTACAACTGTGTGTGTGACTTTAACCCTTTAACTCCCAAGATCTGATTGTTAATTCTCCCCTCTCACTGCTACACATTTCCCATTAAATTGGTAACGAGAATTTGATGTTAGATCAAGATAACAACTACCTGATAAGTTTGAGTATTCTCATTACCTGTTTGCAAAATACTATTATAATATATAATTGGATATAATATAGGGAGAGGTTACATGTTAATCACTTCCGGGAGTTAAAGGATTAAGAATTTTTGGAAAATAACTTTACCACAAGGAATTTACCTGTGGATCCTTATGTGCAAGATTTGAATATTGGAATATTGCACAGGACTGTTTTTTTTTTAGAACACACATGTCTGGCAAAGTCTTCCATTTTAGTCCAACAAAATTTTGTTTCCAAGCAGTTATTTTTTTCTCTTTAAAAACCCAGAGGTAACCCAAAAGGAATTTTTCCAAATAATATCATGACATTTTCAAGCAGCAAGGTGAGGAGAAAAAGGAAAAATATCAATAGGGAGATATTCTTTGATTGAAAAATAAACTCTCAGTGCTCAATTTGTGAGGAAAGTATATGAGCAGTGCAGAGAATGTTTTCATCTTGGGAGTGAAGTGGTTTATGATGATGTATTTATTTTTGAATAGCAATTAGGATTTCATGGGACATGAAGATAATACATTTTCCAATGACCAATAGTCAGTTGCAGGCCAATCACATTAAACCAACTTGAATGCCATGTATTAATTTAACAATTTCAGTGTGTTTTTGTTTCTCTATGTCAATGCATAAGAGGGTTTGTTGATCCCTTCTCCATTTTATGGATCATTTACCTTGGATTTTCAAACAAGATCAAGGGTTATACCTTTTCCAGTTCCACTTTCCAGTGAGGTTAGTATACTGCTATATACTGAAACTTGTCTTTATCTTTATCTTGTCTTCTACATTTCATTTGTGGGGAATTCTAATTGCATGGTATTGATCTTATTGATCTTTGGCATAATCTCAGTTTGATTGTGTTCCTATTTTAGATTGGTCCTGGAGAGACTCAGCCATTTGAACTTACTGTAGCAAGACTAGAATGTGCTTTGAAGAAGGCAACAGAGCAGGTACTGTCATACATACTGATCCTAACTTTTGTGGGAGTTTTAGAGTTTTGGAAACAAGAGTGTTAACCCTTAATTTAATTTTACAATATCACCCCTGAATCACACATTAACCCTTTAACTCCCAGATCAAATTTGTAATTCTCCTAAAAGTCAACCATACATTTCTTCTAATGTTAGTTCAAAGAATTTAGTATTGGATCAACTAATTATCCCCAAATTGATATTTTTTTTGATTCTCATCACTCATCTGGTGGATTTTGTATTGATATTGCCAGGAGAAATTATGTCTTGGTCACTCTTGGGAGCTAAAGGGTTATGGTCATAAGAATAAAGGAAATGATTGCCAACTAAAGAAGCTCTTGATTGTTAAACAAATTCTCCTAGTCATCACCCTTGGAAGTCTAGAGTATATTATGGAGAATATACATACAGATGTCAGGCTGTGAAGGGTTAACCAACTCCATATTTTGCACAGAGCCTGTTTCAGGGTGCTGCCTCATTATTAAGGCACTCTTCAAGGAAAGGGAATGATGCAAAATAGATAAACTTCACAAAGAGGGAACTTTGGGCATGTTGAATTGAAATGAGTTTTCTGCTATCACCCCTGTAATACTATCCATTTAAGGATACCTTTGTTGCAAATATTTACTTTTTTCATAGGGTGTAAAAATCCGTGGTTTACTACTGTGCAACCCAAACAATCCACTGAGCACTACATATTCTGAAGAACTCTTACAAGATTGTTTAAAGTTTGCAGCAAGGTGTGAGATAGTATGGGAACATCACTGTATTTCCTTGCATGAACAGGGTTACATCAATCAATTGAATTGTGCTTACAGAAAGTTTGGTTTAAAATGCAGTGTATCACATATCATAAAGTACATTCATTCCTTACGGATTTCTCTGAAATGTCAAAAGTGAGAAGGAACAAGGGAACATAGCTTACAATTTCATATTACAGATAAAGATCCCGACTTAAAATGGATGAATATCCCATACATGTAGCTTAATTGTTTAAGATTCCTAGTTAAGCCCTGGTTGATTATTCTCAATGTGATTAAATTATTAAACTTTTCAAATAGAGAAAAGAAACAAAAACAAACGTCTCGTTACTTGAGAGGATAGAACAATTTTAATACCTTTGGTTTTTACTTTACCACCCGAGAGAACTCGAGCCATTCTCTCTCAACCAATCAGACACAGACCTAAGATCAATCGTGACTTGGTTTCCCGCGTTTTCCCGCGCTTTTGGTAGTTTTCTTATTCTTACTTTGAGTTCTCATTGGCTAATTGCAATGTTTAACTTTGCTCTGATTGGTACTCAATTGAAAACTGCTTGAACATAAGTGTTAGTCGTCTTCTTTTGGTTTTTGTGCTGTCATAGGCATTCATTACATGTCATTGTGGACGAAGTGTATATGTTGTGTGGATTCAAAGAAGGCTGCTCTGTAACAAATGTGCTGAGTTTAAAAAAGTAGGTCATTTTGTGATTCCTTTTGTTTAAGTTGTCTTTTGGCACTCAACGGTTTAGAATTTGAGCCATTATTTCTAAAACTTAATTCCAATCACATACCTCTTTTGTTTTTTACGTAGTGTTCCGGACAAGAAGATGATTCATGTCATATGGGGTTTTAGTAAGGTACCGTAAAAATCACTATGATTGTTCAAGATTAACTTTATTTTGTATGTGTTTTAGAAGAAGAATTCGATTATTTAACGCTCGTTATTATCCAGGTCTTAGCTCTAAGTGTGAAAAAAATAAATATAACTTGCACCTTGTTTGGAAAAAAGCACACCCAATGCCAAGCGCGGGAAAAAGTTCACCCAATGCCAAGCGCGGCAAAAAGTGCACCTTATGCCAAGCGCGGGAAAAAGCTCAGCCAGTATCAAACGTGGGAAAAAGTTCGCCCAGTGCCGAACCTTTGAAAGCCAAGCGCGGGAAAAAGTTCATTGAACACAAAGCGAAGGAAAATATTTACCCATAGCCAAGTACGTATGAAAGTGTACCCCGCGTTGAGCGCGTGAAAAATGTGTGAACGACAAATACGATGTATTGTTAAAAATGCGGTTTTCTCAATGCGTATACTTGGTGTTTTTAACTGATAAATTCCTGGAACTGTGAATTGACGATCGTTTAATTCCTTTTGCATTACGAACACCCCTCCTCTAACAATGTTATGTGTACATATTTTAGGATTTTGGTTTATCTGGATTTCGCTGTGGTGTTCTTCATACTTTGAACAAAGATGTTTACCAAGCGATTTCTTCAGGATATTCGAGATTCCAGGACCTACCGACTCCCACGCAGGTATTTTTGTTAGCTTTGTTACTGAAAGAATTGTCTTGCACCCAGGTCCGGTAAATTGATTGGTCAGTTTAGCCATGGTGTTTTTGGCTGCAAGACTTAAGTGGTGTAGGCCAGTTTTACACGAACCTGAGTTATAACACTCGACTGACAACTCTTCTCTAGACTCTACTGATGACTTCGCTCAGGTTGACAAGACGTCAGTCACCACTAACAGTGACAGTCCTTCTCAGGACTAAACTCAAACGGGCGATCAGACTTTGCGATCAAATGTTATCGCCGGGTTCACACCATTTACTAAATTTTTTATTCATCATCTTAACATTCTGTCAAAACCTCTGTTTTTAGATTCTCTTGACAAATCTCATCAAAGACAAAGGTTGGTGTCATGTGATCACACCTGCCCCGCCTTATCTTTCATGTTTATTTCTTTTGCATATAGTCCATCAATTTAACTGATTAGCTTAAAATAGCTGTATTTGTAATACCTTTCCGATCCACATTTAGTCTCGGCTGCACGAAAGGTAGATAGCGTTATGAACTGAATAAATTTCCATCCGGTGGATAGCGAAGTACGTTGTGACACACTTCTCCGCCGGGTTATCGGTTTCACAGTTTCTTCGCCCTTGAATTAACTGGGCCCCAATCTCAATCGCAGGTGTTGTATAGTCCCGTCACGCAACACGCTTACTCTCCTATTAACCCTTTGACCCCTAAGAGTGATTAGCTTCTAATTTCTCCTTACAATATCACCCCTGAATCACACATTAAGGTTATGAGAATAAAGGAAATGGTCACCAACCAAAGGATCTCTTGATTGTTAAACAAATTCTCCTTGTTAGCACCGTAAGAAATGTAAAGAGAACAGTATGGAGGATATGCATGCGGATGCTAGGATGTAATGGGTTCACCCCTTTAATTACGAGCCGAAAAACAGCATGACTGAGAAACACTCACCTAGATTAGTCAAGCATAAGGCCTCCAAAGTTTTAATATTCCATGACAAAAAGCACATAGAAAAAGAAGCTGACAATTATGTCAAACTTACGAACCAGTGAAATAAGCAAACGAACTGCTACATTTGAAATTTATTTTTATTTTGATTGTTTTTTTTTCTGTTCTTTTTCTTATCGTTGTAGATTGGTTAGATGAAACTTTTATTCCAACGAATCAAAAACGGCTTCGAAACGCTCATCAGATGGCTTGTGATGCTCTTCATGAAGTTGGTATTCCAGTTCTTCCGGGGGAATGTGGGCTGTATATATGGGTTGATTTCAGAGAGGTATGAAATAATCTGTTACAATAACTGCAAGTACCATTAAAAAATTTGCATCCAGTCTGCTAAAGTATGCCAGAAAACAAAGCCATGTGCCTCATACGCGATGCTCTGGAGTACATCAAGCATGGTAGAAGTGGTAGATGCGGGAAAATGCAACTGTGTGATGCGTGAGCAAATCTCCATTGAGTGAAAAAGGGTGATTTGACGCAAAAAAATAGTCGCTCTGCTTATTCGGTGTTTAAGTTTCTATTCAAAAATTCAGCAAGACCATGAAATAGCCAAAGAATGTTCCAGTTTTCTAAGGAGAAATATCGGTGTTATACCACTAAAATGGGGCAATACAAAGCTAAAAATTGTATGTTAAGCTACGAAAAAATATTTCATATGTTGTGTTTCTATTGATACGTTAAAGGTTCTTCCGACAAACACTTTTGAAGGAGAGATGGAACTGTTCGATCGCTTCTTAGATAATGGAGTGGCCTTTTATCCAGGGGCGTGGTTCCTCTGCGCTGAGCCTGGCTGGTTTAGACTAGTATTCGCCATGGAGTCAGAAATTCTTCAATTAGGTAAACTTTGACGTCTTTTCTTTCTTGATAATTATGTTCTTCTTGAATTGTCAGATGTAACGTTTACGGAGATCTTTGTTCGAATACATATGAGCGTAGCCTTACCTTTCACTGTGCAAGGGCGTTTGTAATTGGTAATGGGTGGTAGGTCCCCTACAGTAAAATTTTATCTGCACCCGACTATACCAGTAGTTATGTATTTTTTTTAGGGCTCAGTAGAATTCAGCAAACAGTGAGGCAAGCCCGCGCCGATATTGCGTCTGGGTAGGAGGAGAAAGCTCTTAAAACATAGAATATTCGCATTATCAAGGGTCTCACCACCAGATGCAGAACAGTGGCAGGCTGAATAAAAACACTTTTTAAATAGGAATGGGATTGCCAAAGAATCGTAGCAACTCCCTGATGATTGGTTACAAATGATATTATAAATAATATTTTTATTTTTTTAGTTCCTTACAATAGTCACACTATAATAGTGCTAATGGAGGAAAGCAAAGGCTCCAATGGAGTACAATTCAGACTTTAACACTACAACTTATGTATATAACATCAGAATCATAATATCGAAACTAAGTACGCAATGAAATGTTTTCCTAAAGGGGTTTAATAAAAAAGAGAAAATAAAAAAGTTCAAAAGAAGTGTTTCAACAACTTTCTGCCAATAACACAACATCTTTTATTGCGAACGTTTGTGACATAGTCTTAAAAAGTGACTTCCACTTAGGTTTCGAAGTGAGACAACTATTACCCAAAAGAGTCCTTTCCAGACTTCTCTCAACTGGAAGGAGAGACCTCGCAATTAGCTTAACTCATTATATGACGAAGCTAGGCACAACACCGGGGTTTGTGATCCAATATCGATCAGCTATCAGGATGAAAAAGTCCTTTTAACGATGTTACTGTTGTTCAGACGCTAAAAGCGTTGAGTTAAATTCTCATTATCATCACCATTTTGGACATCGCTTTCAAGACTTTGGCTTCGCCGTATCATTTCCGCCATCTCTCTCTTCTGGTAACGTAGTGTTGTTGGTTCCTCTCTTCGGGTGCCCATGGCGTTTGCACGCGCGTGCAAGTTTGGAAATCGCTGAGCATGATCCATCTGCAAATGAAATGTAACAAGTGTTGTTTATCAGTTGTTGACACGAGACAAGTTTTATTATGCAACTTCATGCGCAAGAACGTCTGTAATACCACCTTAGTTAATCCTTTTCACCCTTACATTGATAGTGATTTTCTCCAAGCTTTTTCCTTTACAGTATCTATGGTACTAAAAATGAGAATTTAGTTGGCAATCAGGAGCTTCGTAAATTGGAGACCATTTCCTTATTTCATTACCTCTACATTTAATTCGAGGGTGATAATGTGAGGAGAAATCAAAAGCCAATCACTCTTTGGGGTTACAGGGTTTAGTTTTTCTTTATAATGAACTGTTCCTGTTCCAAACTAGCGACTAAAAGTGAAACTCTCGACTGTCAAACAGTTCTTTACATTCACACCACACGGCAGACACTATCCCCTTTCTTATTCAACAGTATTGGATTTTAAATCGAACCAAACTACAGTCGAACCCGTATCAAGCGGTTAACCTGTATTGAGCAGGCACCCCGCCATTCCCCGTGGATAACCGCCTAATACAGGTTTTACTGTATCGCCTTACTTGGATGTTTTCGGTGGTAGGTTTTCTGCACTTCTTGTAGAGGACAACTATTAGGACTGAGTTGATAATTAAAAAAGCTGACCCGATAGAAATCGAAATCCCCACAGCTTTAGAAACGCCTAGAGACGAGGATGAATTGTCATCTGAAACTGAATGAATTGAAAAGTGTTAATCAAAGCATACTAAAATGAATTACTATGTTTTAGTCTCGTGCCCAGCCCCTTACGGTCAAGCGGTTGTAACATTTCAGTCAAAGTTACACGGAGGATCTGGGTATGAGGTAACCTCAGTTTAGGAAAATGTAGGCTTATTGAAGTCGATGAATCGCATTCGTATCAAGGTAAAGAAATAGCAAGGTAGCAAATAGGAGTGGTAACAAATAGGAGTGGTAACAAATTTGGCCCTTTCAGACGCTTTTCAATCTTTTGCCATTCAGGATCTTAAAGCTGCACATTCAATACATTGTCTGCGTATATTTCGTACAAGTTTAGACCAGAGAACAAGGTATAACATCAATCAATATTCCTTTGTTCAGTTCAAATGCTCTGTTATCCCCATAACCTCATAGTCTATTACAAGATGCAGTGATATTATGAGTCTATTTATCCTTATATGATGTAAATCGCACATCTATCTCAACTTATTAACATATTGGGTTTGCCATGATTTACAGCTCTTGATGTGATCACATAGAATGGAATATTTGCGTCATTAACTTTTGTCGTTTGATTACTCTGGTAGAATGTGAGAGCATACCGGGAATCTTTCGTTGTGCAGATGCTATTATAGTTACTTCCCCCTCCTTGGACCAAGTCTTCCCCATTGAATTATTTGCCAGGCAACGGTATTTTAAGGGTTGTTCTGTTTCCGTCGTGAAGACAACGGTGAGTGAGGACGTATCTCCATTCTGAGTTACGGTAGAATCCGACTTCAAAAGCGTTTTGTCCTGCAACCAACTGATCACAGGAGTAGGAAAGCCTCTTGCTTCACAGGAGAGGGTCACTGCGGCAAAGCCATCTCTGTTAAGATGGGCAATGTATCTATGGGGATGGATGAAGAAAACTGGTTTCCAAAGGACTACAGTCACCGTGGGAGGAAAAAAAAAGAGAATTATAAATCCGTGAGGTGGGAGAATTCGCACTTTATCGGTTAAGAAGGTTTTACAATGTAGTGCGATCTCTCGAGTTAAGGTGGTCCTAAAAAAAAAGGCAGTCGCCGGGGTATAATGAATAGCATTTCGACAACCTGAGTGGATGTTTAAAACAGGGTCAAGAAGGACAGCACTGCTACCAGCAGTCGATCGGTCAAAAATAAGAACAAGCTTAATTTGCATTAAAACAGTCATCTTTCAAAACTACGTGAATATCGAGCGCCCACCTTTCAAAGTCGTTGGGGAAGTTCTGTCCCATCCTTCTGTGCTGTTTGCCTCGCACCAGTACTTCCCTTGATCTCTAAGACCAACAGCCTGCAATTCTAATTGCGAGTGACCTTTGAATTCTGTCGCAGATGACCTTGGCACAGGATGACCATTCTTGTACCACCTAATGACTGGGAGGGGAATACCGGTCGCGCTACAGGTCAAAGTTGCATTACCTCTAATGGGCACGATAAGTTGGCGAGGATTCTTAACAAGAAATCGAGGTGGTGATGGTTCTGCAAAAAAAAGGAAATTTTCTTCACTTTTAATCTTAACACAGAAATGTTTTGAAGTGGCATACTTATGGTATAATAAACAGAAATATGCAGTTGTCATCGTCACCTCTTTATCGCCTGGAGGAAGGAAGGGGAGGGGAGGAATGGGGTGGCTGCAGGATTTTGGTAGTGTCATTATAAAGCTTACCTGATCCCCCCCCCTCCCTCCTCATTGGCAGTTAATCGACCGTCACTTTTCTATAATTCTCCCTTAATACTCATTTGACGACGACTGACCCTTCCCCACCCTGGCTGTTCCCCCTTAAAACCCTGAGATACCCGCAGTCCTCGGCCGCCCAAAATGACTGGTTCCTAATTAGAGCCGTCGTCTTTATTATGTTACTGGTATTGCTGTCCACAAGTGCTGATAATGGGAAGTCTTTAGAGCCTTTTGGCCTTTTTCAAAGAATGCAACTTTGGCACTCTTCTGAAGATTTTTTTCACATTTTTTGTATGCTTTCTGGGGTTTTAATGGTGCCCTTTCACGGCCAAGCTGTTTCAAGCGGTAACATTTTTGTAACAGTTTCACGGTAGGATCGTAAGATAAAGCAGCAGTTAGCTTACCTTTGAAAACCAATCTTAGCGTATCCATTGTGCAGCCATATTGGTTGTAGGTTTTGCATGTGTAGTCTCCAGAATTACCTTCTGCAGTATTGTGGATAAAGTAAGAGCATGTTTTCTGGGGGTTGCCTCCACTACACGATTTTGCTAATGTTCCATTGAAAAGTAGAGTAATCTGATATGGCTTTTCATACATAGAGCATCGAAGCTTCGGACAATTGCTTCTGCAAATAATTGTGGCTCCGTAGCCTGTAGGAAGCACGTATTCGTCTTTGTATTCCAAAACATCGATTTCCAAGGTAGGAGAAATGTCACCTGCTGATGTAACAATCAAACATGATAATCTCACCCTCTCTCCCTCTCCAAATTTTCAAGGAAACCAGACTGTTGAAAATTCACACAAAAATTTAAAATCATGATACTAAGAGCCTGACTCACCTACTCCAGCACCAGCAGCTTCACGGCATAAAGCGTGGGTCGGTTGTTGATGGAAGAAAAAAAGTAAACAGACAATCACCAACATTCCTCACATCAATTCTTCCAATATGCGTCTGAAATTGAACAAAATAAATAAAAATCTTTACTAGCTACAGTCTTATTACCCATTATTAGTGATTGACCATTTGCCATTAAGCGTTAAGAGTAACGACAGTCACCGCTCGAAGCTGCGTCGAGAAATACTCTTTAGATCATTTGAATGCCCGAAGAATGGACTTAATTCTCGCAAAATGTTTTGAAGCAGTCTGAAGAACAGACATAATTTAGTGAGACGCTGACAAAATAAGAAATATCAGAATGCTTTAATCATGCTCAAAAATAGAAAGAGCAATTTTAAGTAAACTTGGCACGATTCCTCATTTATCCACTAATGACAGGAAAAAAAATTAAGATTGTTGTCCGTATCATAAGATGGTGAACGTACCAGGTTCAAGCGCGCGGCCCGCTGAGATGTTTGAGAACAAATAAAGGATTAATAATCTCCATGGTATGAAGGGAAGGAGGTGTATTTCCACTGGAAACGGAGAATTTGCAGTTTTTTGGTGGGTCTTAGAGGCTTTTACTCGCACATCTACAGAAACATGTACCCCTAAAAGCCTTTCTTTAAAATCTAGGGATTGTTGAATCCGCGCCTTTAGCAGTAAATAAATAATTAGATTCAAAATAACTAGAAATTCCGGCTCAAAATGCTGGCGTATGAAACGACTGAGATATTACGCTCGCTCTTAATGGGGCGATCGTACTCTTAGAGTGAGAGTATGTATAATAAACATAGTTTTTATGTTGTCAAGTTAAAGATGCGGGATGTATTTCTGCTGGATATTCTCTCTAAGGAACAGAGGATTGAGCAGTGTTTGAGATATTATAGTAAAATAACTTACTTCCAAGTTTAGTGTCAGACGATTTCCTTATAATTTTATTGTGTTTAAATGAGGTTATGTAATCACAACAGAAAATTCTCTTGTGCTTAAATCTTGCTCGGCACACCGGCTAAATTAAATTTCTATAAAAAAAAATGAAAGACGTTCAACTTTTTTTTGCGCCAACTAAATATTTATGTAGTATCAGCTCCAGTGCTGATTTCTACTAGAGCAGTGTTAAGATATTTTAAAAAAAGAACCTACCTCCAAGTTTTATATTAGACGATTTCCTAATGATCTCCTCTGCCTTAAAGAAGAGTTCTCGTTGTCAGTTGCTCCCAAATCGTTGACTTCTACGGACTAGAATAAACGAATAAACTTTGACAGCGGAAGTTTCAAGGTTCTACATTGACGTCACCGAAAGCTTTCAGCAGTACTGTTTTTCTTTTTTCCTTTTATTCCAAAATATTGATTTCCAAGGTAGGAGAAATGCAACTTGCTGATATGACAATCAAACATGATAATCTCACTGCAATCTCGTACCCGGAAAATGCAAATCAGCACTCCTGAAAGCTTTCAGTGACGTCACTGAAGGACCTTGAAACTTCTGTTGACAAAGTTTGTTCCTCCGTTAATTAAGAATGTCACTAAAGATACCGTAAGCAGTTCGTTTACACAGATAACGGCCGGCTATAATTCAGTGGTGGTCGACATACAGAAAGAAGGGTGTCATTGGGTTGACCGTTAGTCGCAAAACGACAAGAAAATTAAACTATTGATTAAGCGTAACAATTGAAAAAATTTAACCGTTGGGCATAAAAATGCTAAGTATAAAAATTTTTCTTTTAATCACAAAGGGAGAATTTTGCTGTTGGCCTTTTAAAAATGGCCGGAATTTTAACCGTTAACCTTAATTAAGACCCTTGGGTACGTCACGCATTTGGCGGGTTAGGTCTTTTATAGTTACCAGAGTTAAATATTTACATTCTAAATTGGCGATAAAGGACTGCCACCTGTGAATATTATTTTGAAAAATATATTTAGTTAATAGCGCTTAAAAAGTGCAAAACTTTTGAGGATTCCAAGGAAATTCTGAAAACCTCGGTGAATGAGCCGGCCCCTTCCATAAATATTATCATCATTGTCATGAATTTGGCAATGACTGATTTAAAAATAAAAAATAAAACATAACAGAACAACACACAAAATAAAGCCTGACAGCCGGCACCCTCTCTACCCCCATCAAAAGTCCCAAAATGTGTGGGATACAAAATGAGGATCATACATGAAGTTCATAAAGAAAAATTAACTTTACAGAACGCGGTGTCAGCAGAAGATTAGCAGAGGATTGTCCGAATCCGTGGGGGGAGAGTTTGGAATTTTTATACGAATACCTTAGTTTAATTTTAGGAAGATGTCCTCTATATCAAACCGTGCAAAGTCCATGCGGCAATATTTCAACCACGAGGCAAAATATCTAGGTAAACAAAAGGCGAATCCTTTCCACAAGACCAAGAATCCACAGGTTAGTTGCTTCAAATGTATCCATGGAAAGTTTGATTTAAACCTGAGTCAAATATATTACGAAAATTTTCGTTTCTAATTAGGCCACAAAGAAAAATATTTTTGGAATGGTATGACAGAAGATGCTTTACTATATGCATTTTGAAATCACTGATGATCCTTGCAATTTGATTGGCTCTCAGTGATGCGATTAAATCACTAACCGCCCCTCTTTATGCTCTAAATCGCATCTTTTTCCCAGGCCATGAGACAGTTCTACGTAATCAATCAAATCCCAAGAAAATGAGCGATTTAAGCTCTTGCAACTTTTTACAAACCAGCTTAATATATATACAGGATCAATATAATATTTTTACAGACTAATAGACTTGCAACTGAATTTCGCAATTCCTAAATAGATGTAATTTAGTGGTAATTGAACTTTTTGTTATGCTATTTTGTTGTACGCATGATTTCAAGACCAAACGAGTATGCAATGGGAGTAATCACGCTTATGATTTAAGGCCAAATTGCACTTTACTCAGTTCAATAACCATTATTTCTGAGCTGTACCCATACTGATATATCCCAAATTACACTCAAAATTATGTGATTACATATACAAATTGCACTCTACTCAGTTCAATTACCATCATATTGGATGCTAAAATCATACGTGGTGTGGAGGGTTGGATCAAGGTGCTTGGTGACATTTTTTGAGCAGAGGTAGTATCTGAAATCTGTTGGTTCTTTTGCTTAAGAATTACATTGTTACCAGCTGATGGGATTCCTGAATTAAAGCATAAATCAGTGCTATTTATGTGTGAATCACCCTGCTGAGAGCCAACTAAGGATCACGAATAGATTCAAAGTGGATGTAATGAATAATTTTGAAATCAAAACCACTGAGGTTTTTAAGATCCCCATTATAACTCAGATGTAGAATATTGATAGATATAAATGTTTGCTGTAAATTTTTTTCCTTCAGGGAATCATCAACATGGGTACAAGTGAAAACACAATGACATATGATTTGCTGAAAGCTAAGGTATATTGGGTGTGAATTTATCAACCTGCCGACTCTACTCTCCTGCCTTAAGGTTGGGTTTCACTCATGATGGGGTCCGAGACAGAGTCAGAGTTGTAATCAGGAGCACAGAGCAATGTGATCCAGTGAAAATCAAACTGACAGTATAGAAAGAAAAATGTTGATGCTGCTTACGACTCTGTTGCTTATGATTCAGTGAGAACTTGGTTGTTGTAGTCCTAAGCTTAAGACTGGGAGGGCCTGAGAACTGGTATTGTAATTGGTTGGTTCTCCAACTTCTGTTTGCGACTCCAACAATCTAGTGTTCACTGGAATTTTAAGTGTTGGAGGCATAAATGGAATCAGAACAATTCTTCACACCCTCTTCCTTACATTTCTTTTAATGTGCAGCCAATTTCATGCTAATATAAGAGTAGAAAGGTCTATTTGCATGACCAGCAATTCATAGAAGCATGCAGTGCATCTTGAGATCAAGAGCACCTGAGACATGTTTTTCCAAGTTCTTTGATTTTCAGAATTGCTTACAACCTTGAAAGAAAAAGAAAGTTAGTAGATTTACTTACTAGGTACTTAGAACCTCTTTTAAAAACTTCAGATATGATAGAGTTCTCTTCAAAATTGCTCGCCATCTGAGGATAAAAATCTCATTTCTTTGACCACAATAGAGTCAGCTGGTCTATTTGCTTATATGAAGTGAATTCCACAGACTTCCTACAACCTTCAATTCTGATGGATAAGTTTGGACTGTTACCAAAATCAAATTTCTTTTTTTCAGTTTGATGAAAAAGAGTCTCGCACTTTGCTTCCAGAGCATGCACAATATATTTGTGGAGAAGGATTAGAGAGGTAAAGATTGATTAAAATAATAACATTGTTTGATTTTAAGTGCTCTTATAAGTACTTAATTTTTTTTTCTGTTAATCTGTAAGTAAAAGTTGAAGTTTATTTCTAGGTTGTCGTCATTTTTAAGTAACCTAGAATTAAATTAAAAAGAATTTTATGCAGAGATGTATAATAAGATTATTTGACAATTATTCCATGAGTGCACATTAGATATGAGATGGTAAATGCATGGAGTTGGCTATATGCAACAAGTGCAAATTGAATAGGTGTATTGTGAATATTCAGAGTCGAATACTTAAAAATTTTTCTAATATGATAGTTATGTTACTTACTTATTATCAAATAGTGTGACTTCTATCAGGTTTCAAATGTCAACCCCACATGACTACAATCCAGCCTTACATATGTTATCTCTCTTTTCCCTTTTTTACCAGTTTTAGAGAAGCAATCGCAGATTTTCTCAATGACCATATGAAGCCTGTGGAGCCTATTCTTCCAGAAAATGTATGTAAAATCATGGATAGATATAAGACTGAAATTGCCAGTACCATCATTAATAGTGAGCATAAATTTTCCTGTTGGGAATAGAGTAAATTCACCACAATCATACACAAACATGAAAATTTTCTCTCTGTTTCTCACTCTAATTTTCTAAAAGTGATAATTGATCCTTGAAGTGACTACTGCTTTACTTACAGTGCTTGCTCACATCCCACTGATTTACTAATAGTGCCTGCTCACATACTGCTTTTACCAATCATCTTGTGAGGTTTACATGTAAGGATTTAATCTTTAACTCCCAAGATCTGACTGTTTATTCTCCCCTCTACCTGCTACACATTTCCTTGCTAATAAATCACAAAAATTAGGTGTCAGATCAATACTACTAACTTCTACCTGATAAGTTTGAGAATTCTCATAACATGTTGGCTGAATAATGTGTGGATTTTATAGGGAGAAGTTACATGTTAATCACTTATGGAGTTAAAGGGTTATTAAAGGAATGTGCTCAATTAAGTTTGCTCACATCTGAATTTTGTTGAACCAGTTGGCCTTCGGAGATATGTGAAACTTTGTAATATTGTTTTTGTTTTCAGTTGATTGTTTCTAATGGATGTACACCACTAATTGATACTCTGGCCTTTTCACTTGCTGATGAAGGAGGTATTTCAATTTGTATGTATTATTAATATTTTAAGTACAGGCAACAGTAACAACAGCAAACTTTACTTTTACTCTTTATAATATACTCTTTCTCGTTCGTCCTATTTGTAGTTACAAAAACTGTAATACAGTAAATGGTTTGAACCCAGGGTAACATGGAATAGTGTGGTCTGATTGTCTGCTGGGGTGAGCGTAGTCCTGAGAAAGACTGTTGTTGTGGTGACTGATGTTTTGACAACCTGAGTGGAAGTCATCATGAGAGTCAAGTGAATAGTTGTTGTCAGTTGAATGTCAACAATGACTGACAAGAACTCATTCAACTGACAACTGACAACAATTCACTTGACTTTGTTAATGACTTCCACCCAGGTTGTTGAAATGTCAGTCACCACTACTGACAACATTCCTCCTCAGGACTACACTCACCTCGACAATCAAACTACACTATTACAAAAACTGTAATAATAAAATTAAGGCCAATCTTCCTGGAATAATTACAGTGTGTAGGAGATCCAGGTAACCTATGTGTACACTAAACGATGCATGGGATATGAATGCCTAAGATATAATTGCACTTGATAGGATTTGTAACAAAGAACTAAATTTCTTTAAGTGATATTTAATTTTGAAAGTGTGACAGAAGCTACTCAGTCAATCCTCACTTGTTTCTAGAGGTCAGTTTCTCTTGTAGTTGCTGATTGTGAACTAGTCGTGGTAAAATTTAAAAAAATAATGCATTCTATTTTTGTATTTGCACTGTGATCCAACAGAGGGTTTGCTGATCCCGTCTCCATTTTATGGATCATTTCTCCTGGATTTGCAGTCAAGATCAAGAGTGATACCTTTTCCAGTTGAACTTTCTAGTAAGGTTGGTGTCCTAACATATCAACTGGGTTTCTTGCAAGTTGACTTGGTGCTGTAGTTTGCAAAGACTTCTTAATTACTACTGACAGTACTTTCTCAATGACAGTATTGATCTCTGGAATCAAGGCAGGAACTGTATGATGACTTCTTTCATTTTATGTCTTAGATTGGTCCAGGAGAGACACAGCCATTTGAACTTACTGTAGCAAGACTAGAATCTGCTTTAAAGAAAGCATCAGAGCAGGTACTCCTTAACTGAGAAGTTGTAGTTAATCACATATGCATAAAAGTAGAGTTGTAGAAATTTTTCACAAGAAATCACTTTTGATGCAGCGGGTCGGAAGATAGTATTTAGCAGGTCAAAATCTAAAATACTTTGGCTTTGCTCTTAGAGATTTTCAGTGCTTGGATTTAGGGAAAGTTGCCAAATTTTGACCTCAATCAAATTGAAAATCTTCCAAGATGCCAATTCATGAACAACGAATCAAAAGAGCAAATTTCAATCTGAGTTGAAAGGGATGCAGATTGCTCCTCATTTTTTTAACAACAAGCTGTCTATATTCACAAATTATTTTGCTGATCTTCCTAACAGGGTGTGAAAATCCGTGGACTACTGCTATGCAACCCAAACAACCCCCTGGGCAATATCTACTCCGAAGAACTCTTACAAGAATGTCTGAATTTTGCTTTCAGGTGAGGAAAGACGCAGTTTACTCGCACTTACTGCTAAAGGACACTGTAACAGCCAACCAGTTATTTTTTAGAGATATATTAATTACTGTAGCAAACCACAGAAAAGCTGGTGTTTTGCTCATCGTTGGGGCAGAGTAGGGGACTCTGGTTTGCGAGCGTATAAATGAAGTATAGATGTATATTGTTGGGTTTAGTCAGTACCTGAACAACTGCGCACCTACCCCTCCCCTGACCCAACAACAGTCAACTGATGAAGGTTGCGTTAATGTTAGGTTAGGGGAGGGGTAACTGCGTAGTTGCGTAGGTATTAACGCTAATTCACTTAAATTCACTCAAGAACTGAATAGGATATTGCGAATTGCGAAGATCACAAAAGGAAACGAAGACAGTTGCGAGTGGAATCACAACGATCATTAAAATGGGAATCTTAGGGTTAGATCCTTGATTCGAACAAACTATCTCTAATTTATTAGGAAAATGCAACCGATGTTAAAAAATTCCTTAGATTTCCTTCTTCGTTGGGGTATGAAAGCTTACTTGTGATTTCTTTACTGTTTTAGACATTCTCTACATGTCATCGTAGACGAGATATACATGATGTGCGGATACAGAGAAGGTTGTTCTGTGACAAATGTGATGAGTTTAAAAAAGTAAGTCACTTGTGCAGGGTTTTTCTCTTGATACGATATTTTTTCGCTGCTGGTGGCTTTCATCGGTGTCTTTGCTAAGAATTTACATGATTTGGCTGCATCCCCAAACACGATTTTTGGTATGTTAACGTTCTCCTCTCTCTTTTCGGGGCCATTGTGTTGAATTCTTGTTCGAGGCACTTTACTTTCACAACGCTTCTCTCTCACCAAACCGTAGTATCAAAATGTTAGGAAACGGAGCATTGTTGGGGACTGGTTAGGGAAACCTAGGATTAGCTAGTCTGGAAGCGATAAGGTCTTAGGGCTTGTGGTTTCCGGTTGAGGAGACAATCAAGTAAGCGTTTTTTTTTTTTGTATTGATATGGATCATTCTTCAATCGAGTGTCGAAAGTAATGCGGGATTGCATTGGTTTTACTTTACTTTGCTCTGTGATTGGAAAACTCGCGTCATCCTCACAACTAATAAAATGCAAACTGAAAACCATCGCAACTCGGTCATTTGCGTTTTCTTGCACTTCAAGCAGTTTGCTTGTTTTCACTCCGAGTTCTCATTGGCTAATATTTGTGTAAAAGTTTATTCTGAATGGTCATTGGGATTACTTTTATTTGGTTTTATGACGCTCAATTGAAAATTGCACTGAATATAAGGGTAAATAACCGATCACGAGTGTCTGTTCTTTCCTTGCAGCATTCCAGACAAGGAGATGGTTCACGTCCTGTGGGGCTTTAGTAAGGTAGTGTGAATTGAATGGCGAATTCGTACATGTAACGGGTTGTTTTGAACCTCAAACACTAGATAAGAAACAGAAACGGCCAAAAGAAAATAGAAAAACATTTTTTTGCGAAATGACTGAATGAGTGACTTACTTGGGATCGTTTGAGAGGGACTACAACTTAAAACCCATTTGTGTTTGATATCGTTTGATATTGTAATGACTCCAGAGCATGCGCTGCGTGTAACCGGTTTCAAGCGCGAGAAAACAAGTAGCAAGTGGCAGGCGCGGAAAATTGCGAATTTGGTGTCTAGCGCGGGAAAAGCATGTAAGCGGTAAAAAGCGCGGGAAAAGCATGTAAGCAGTAAAAAGCGCGGGAATAACTAAGTGTTTGGTTATAACTTGAAACCAGTTTCAAGCGCGGGAAAAATGGGAAGCAGTAAGGGAGTGCAAGAATAATGTGAACTGGTTCTGAGGAAAGACCTCTATGCATGTTCATCGGAATCTTTCGTACGCACCTACATTCGCCCTCACTGATTTGACTGTTATAAATTTGTAGGATTTTGGAATATCTGGATTTCGCTGCGGTGTTCTTCACACGTTAAACAAAGAACTTTTCAGACTCATAAGTTCAGGATATCAAATATTCCATGATATATCAGCCCAAACACAGGCAAGTTATGGTTACTGAATCAATTCTCTGTTATTTGGAATGACGAGTAAAGACACTATCTTGATTTAAGTGATATATTAGTTCGCCAAAAATACCATGAATTTACCTGAAAATACCAACTTACAAAGATGGGACAACACTAGTAAGGTGGAGATAAACTTTGATGAGGATAGATGGTTCAGACTATTATGAGTAGCAAAAGTTGTTAGCACACATCCCCTTTAGTTTGTAGGTGGATGACAACCGTCCCCTCGACATCATAAACAGAAATCTTGTAATTCGTCCCCAATCATTTTCTTGGAAGTTCCCCCTTATCCCTTAACAATGTTGCAAGGAACTAATGAGCACTTTGTTTCCAAAGGGCAACATTGAAATGGGAGATAGGGGAAGATAGATGAAAGTTATAGGGAAAAGGACGCCAAGACTTTTTTCACACATTGTAACTTATACAACAACAAACTTGAACTTTGTATAAAACTTGCCGTTCACTAGAGGAGATAACCTTTTGGTAATATTCGCTCCAAAGTTTTTTTAAGTTCACCCAAAGGCAAGGTTCTTGTGTTTTTTTCCTCTTTTATGATTATCTACGTTTTAAGCTGTTACAGTTTTGACCAGTTGCTCAGTAGAGCCTTGGGCGAGTGTTGTAAAACCAAAATCAAACTATCAGAACAGCCAATCAGAACATATCTCAGTACCTCGCTTTCCACTAATGCTATGATGTAACCTTTTCCTTAGGTTCTCCTTACAAATCTCATCAAGGATAAAGGTCAGTACGTTGCTATTTGATTGGGCAGGGGTGGGGATTTTTTTCGAGTTAATAACGAACGTATAATAACAACAGTCCTACCCAAACCGTTTAAGGTTTGACGTTTTTTACATGTCATTCCCGCAGCCTCATGCTTGGTATGAGAATTGTGCATGCACAGCACTTTAAATTATGTGAAAGGAAACGAAAGAGGGAAATTAGTGTATTTCTTTCCGAAGTAAAACATGAAAAGAGAGCAAAACTCTTAGTTTGAAGCAAATTAAAGGTGTGATTCTAATTTTTTTTATTCGTATGGTTTACAGAATGGTTAGATAAAACGTTTTTCCCAACAAATAGACAACGGCTTCGAAATGCTTACAAGATGGCTTGTGATGCTCTTGAAGAAGTTGGTATTCCGTTCCTCCCCGGAGAATGTGGACTGTTTATATGGGTCGACTTTAGGGAGGTATACACATTGACTAAGACAATTTATTAAAACATCGTGTGATTTATTTAAAAATAGGCCATCTTACAGTTGTGTTCTTAGTTGCCAAGCCTTTGATTTGGAGTGAGGCTGAAGGTGACCACGTTGTGATAGAGACCAGTATCTCGTTAGTTTGATGACAAAGTAATTTACATGTGAAAAGCAGTAACGTTTGTATCATAACAAGGTCAACCTTAGCCTCACTCCTGTTCAAAGGCTTGGCAACCAAGCACGCAACTGTAAAATGGACTGTTGGTTCATGCAGAGCGTGGATGCCCGCTGAAAGTTTAGAGAACAGGAATACTTATTATTGTACTGTCTCTTTATCTTTTAGCTCCTTCTAACATCATCTTTTGAAGATGAAATGCACTTGTTAGACTGCATGATAACACATGGTGTATTCATCTTTCCTGGGTCATATTTTCGTTGTCCAGAACCCGGTTGGTTTAGAATAATATTCGCCATGGAGACGGATATTCTTCAACTAGGTGAGCTTGTTGTAAGTGACTATCTGTCGCCTGGATGAAGAGAGAAAAGACAGGAAATAACAATAGAAAAAGCTATGTCGCTTTTGTGTGTATTCTAATATACATTAATTGGAATAGTTATTGAATCTAAGGGAAGAGAGAGTGACGGTTTTCTAAACGAACTAACGCAGCCCTCCCGAGAAGTATTCAGCACATTGCATTAATGGAGTATTATTTCATTTTCTCGTGGAGTTTTCTTTTTTTGCACCCACATTAGCATACCCCGCCGCGTTCCAGTTTCTACAGAATAAAGGTGCTGGGTGTATTGCTATTCCACTTGAATGGCATGCTGTTCTATCGCAGGTTATCCCCGAGGGAATTGTTAGTAGTCGCCTAGAATATTCTGGCACTGTAAGTGTGTTGACCCTTGGGCGTGAATTCGGGCCAGTCAAGGCAGATTCCCACATGCCAATCGTCTGCCAGCTTTGTCCTCGCCATGATAATCCTCTGAATAAAACTTTGATTAGCTTAGCAGAAAGCTCTATAAAAGAGTCTTAGAGGCGCAACTAAGTAAAGAAGTTGGTGGCAATTGCGCGCACTACTGCTCTCAAGATGCCTTGCCTGCTGGCGAAGATTGTTTCACCTACACACTTTAATACTAAATAACTCCTCTTACTTAGGTTTAAGCAGAATTCAGCAAACTGTGAGGGAGGTCCGCGCTGGTCTGGCTTCGAAGCAGGATGAGAGAGCTGCCCTTGCTCAGAGAGAAGAAAGTACTAGCTTCATAGAAAGCGAGAATGGTGAAAGTCTCGAGGATTTACTTCGAACATTACACCAGCAAATACAAAACAGTGACTGGCTGAAGGAAAATACCGCTGAAAAGTGGATGGAGGAAAATCCTGAACTGGCTAAAGCCTTTTTAAAGCAAAACGACGAGAAATAACAAGCTAAATGATTTTATTAAATTGCCAGAAAACCGCCAGATAAGTTTTCCTTTCAGAAAGTTACCAAACGATATCTTCAGGGAGGGATAGGTGGAGAATCTATAATCAAGAGCAATGGTTACCTTTCGACATAAACAACGAGCAGTCTCATCTTTCTGGCGAAATCCGTCAAGTAAGTAAAAAAAAATCAGCGAAAAAATAAATTGATGTTAGCGCGGAATTCCCAGGGTGAGATATGACGCGCGAACATCCATTTTTGTTGAATTTTTTTGCCTCGCGCGACGTATTTCGCCTTAAAGGCGCTGCTCGTGGTCTTCTTTTGACACGGCTGTACAAGTCAATGCGAATATCTCTCTTTCACAAAAGAGAGCAACTGAATTTTATTGAAATCATTTTCTCACTTATTTCACAAACCCTGCCGAAGGACAGAGAGGAAAATGACCGGTAAGTTGTTTGTGATGACAATCCACAATAAGAAACTCACACAGTCAAAGATAACTCACTTCAAAATGGACAAATGTACAGGAAAATCACATCACACTTATAAGTATTTACAATATGAATGATCTTGTACCAAGTTGATATGAGCATTGACAAATACATAATCGTATGTAAAACATAATAAATAGAATAATTTGAGAAACTAGTTTTACTAGTTTACTGAACAATAAGGCACCTGGTACTTCATTTTCACACAAGGCAACTAATAAAAAGAAAATAGCTTATGTTCACGGGCATAAATATGTTTAGGGTCCCGACTCACGTGTCATTTTAGCCCGAGCCATCTAACGAGGTTCAAAATGACTCTGGGAAGGGCCCAAAACATATTTACGCCCGCGAAAATAAGCTGTATTGCTGTAATTATCAATTTGGAGGGCGTTGTGACGTTACGGCACACTGGAAAATGTTGAACATCTCGACGTTTGCTATCAGCTGATTGTACACTAATACGAAAGCAACAATGAAGTATTGCAGTTTTCTCATGATCTATGCACGTCCTTGTGGATATACCACAATAGAAGAGACTGTGTTGCAAGAAAAACGATAACACCTCACTAGGAGTGTATCAACTACGATCAAGAACCGCTTGCCTTTGTTTCGAAAACGAAAACATTTGGATTGGCACAGAACAAGAGATGTGTTGTGCTATTTTCATGTAGGGTTGATTTGAGGATCGCTTGCTGTTTGGCTTTTTGCCGTTTGAAAACGTCAAGCTTTAATATACTGCCTACAAGATGACCCCCACCATTGTGCGGGATTCTGCTTCAAGGCAGTCGGGTATAACTGGGGTAGATATGTTATCTGTCTTCAACACCGTAACTAGTTTTACTACTTCACAAAACGACCCAGAATGAACTACATGTACATTAAATGTTCAGTTGAGCAGTCAGTTGTTGTCTTATGCCAGTTCATAATACTTGTGAGTTCTGGGATCAAAGTAACAGTTCAAACATGGATCATAAAGTAAATCCAACTCTTCTTCATCTGCTGTGTTGTGGTCCATGCTACAGCTTGGATTACGACTTCTTGGTGGTGATAGGGCAGCTGAAAGAGCCTCCTGTTGGCCAGCTGTAAAACAAATAATTGTTTTGAGGAAGCATGCATCTTTAACCATCATAGTGGTTTAAATTAAAGCCTGTCAGTGCCAGTCTATTACCACCTACAAGACCTTGTACCGCTGTATGATTAGCCTAGGTGCAGGTTCGTGTTTGGGTTTTTCCTTTCAGCCCCTTTTGCTCGTACAACTGTCTGTTATGCCATTGGCAATCACTTATGGAAAAGTTAGTGAAACTCCTGCATCACATCTCTCCTTAAGAACTCTACAACTTACCAGTAACATTTTGAAAATGATAAATCTGGCCGTGTTAAATAAACAAGAGTGTTAAGTGTTGATTACAGGACAGGATTGCAATAACTAGAGGTCTCAAACAGTGCAGAACTTTAGCCGTAGATTTATTCCAACCTGACTGACAGTTTTTTATTATAATGAGAAATAAATGAGTGAACCATATGCATGAGTATAATGTACAAAGCATACCTCCCCTGTGTCACTAACAGAAAAAAAATAACATTTTAAACTCTCATTAGTGACCAAAAGAGAATTTCTCTTCAATAATAATACAACATCAAGCAGACAAGTGATGAGAATAACCATTCAAGGAAAACATGAATTAGCGGATTTTTAGTTGACCCTGTACCTGACATCAAAACAATTATATAGCAGACAGTAAGGAGAATAACTAATAAGATCATGTGAATGAAAAGACAAGGGCAGAATAACATCTCGTTACTATAGATCACTGCCATCTCAAGAGGAGTGTTTTACTTACCAGTGCTCCGTTTTTGACTGGGTAGTACAATCGGTGGACTGAATGCATTCGAATACTCTCTTGGATCCATCGGTAATGTGGCTGTAAGATCTGGCTCTGGTCCTGGGTGCTAATAAGTGCAAAACACATGTTACAACAGTTCAAACTACTACTTTCCTTTTAGATTAAAAGTAAAACTGATGAGATAAAGAAGACAGAAAAAAATTTTTGGTTAGGGTTGGGCCAAACAGAACAACCAAAATTTGAAAAAACATTTCATTCCTTTCCTCATGTTGTTATCCTTTTGTTGTCACATGATGCTTTCCTGCCACTTTTATGTGTTTTTCACATAGGTAATGTAAAATATAAATGCTACTCCAGGGACACATCTCTCCCAAGGGTGAACCAGACTCTAGGCTTAGGAAATACATATTTATTTCACTGTACATTTAGGTGGAGTTGATGAGTGAAGTGAATAAGATGAAGCATCATTCTAAAAGATGTTGACTAAATAACCCACCAGAACTTGCAGTATCAATTTTTTTTTCCTTTGGCAAACCCCACCCCAGTTGCCCACCCTTGAAATTTCAGTTTGCTTCAATGTCCAACATCCAATTCCAGCTGTGGCACAGTTTTATTGTAGATAGTTTCTTAACTCCATCAATACCCTAACCTTTTAGGATGTTTTGTGGTATGGGCCTCTAAAAACTGTCTTCAACTTATTTGGTCACACTGGATTAATAGCTAGTATGTGCAGAAATTCATGTGAGCATTAATTTACCACAGACACTACAGATTTGAAATTTTCAGAATGGAAGCTCTAATTCTTGACAAATTCAATCCCACCTCCTCCTTGCCAAACTAACACCATTTTACTAACCCTCATTTCATCTAAATAGCGGTGTATCCTCCTGTCAGGGGGAGGTGGTCCTTTCCATGTACTGTATGTTGTATCATCACTAGAATCACTAAGGGAATCCCCTCCATCATTAACAATGATGTCTTCAGAACCAGTTCCACTACTATTCAAGTGTTCTCTAAATATTCCACTATCATGTCCAAAAGAGCTGTTAAATGATCTATCCAAGGATTTGTCTAACATGTTGTTACTCATGGCAGATGTGTCAAATCGCCAAGAACTTGCATCTGATTGAACATTCCGCCACGAGTTTACATCAGATTGGTAATTCCTTGCATCATATGGCTTTGCATTGCTTTTGCGTGGTGAAGGAATCTTAAGTAAAAAAAAAAGAGAAAAAAATTAATAGACTACAATTATAACAATTTCATACTTTCTGACATATCAAATCACCATTTTGAAGCCAATTAATCAATGCCTGAGCCCTGCCCAGAAAAAAAAAACATCTGTATTCTTTTTATAGTGTACAACCTAAATGTAGTCACTGTATTCATGTGCAGAAGTGGCATGTACTGACAGAAATACCTCTCTAATAACTCCAAATATGTATTATTTTTTAATACCAGATCTGTCCAACCTTGTCTCATCCTTGGTTGAACAAAACATAAAAATTGTCAGATGTCTCATTTATGTCTTAACTGTTTTCACTTAATTTCATGCCCTATTTTCTGGGCAGAAAAATTATATGTCTCTTATATATTTGGCAAATAGTTGTCAACTGTAAAGTCTGGTTAAGATATGTGTCAATTTTGATGAAACACTATGCAATAACCAAAAGATTTACTGATATACAGGCTAGCTGAAGAATGACCTCTTTTAGTTAATCTTTCACTTGGATTTCATTTAAGTCTTCACTCACCTCCTTCAACAAGCTACTTCTGATACTCATTCTCAAGATCTGTGAATTTGACAAAGGATCAGGCTCAGGGCTTGGTAATGGACTTTCCAGAGGGCTCAATTTTGATCCTCTTGAGCTGCATCTTGAATTTCCACTTGCTTTCAAAAAGTTCTGTAAATCATCTTCCTCAGCTGAACTTTCTCCAGAAGCTTTGTAGAAGTCATCATCATACTCTGATCTATCACTGCCTTTCCGCAATCGATTCTGTGATTTATTTGTTAGGTCTTTAGAATCCACAGATTCTTGTAATGAAATTTTAATCTCTGGCTTTTCTTCAGCAGGTGTCATACCTGGAATATAATCTGAAGTTTTACGTGGTCGACCCCGAGGTGATCTGGGTGCGGATCTAGGTCTAGATGAGAAAGTGAAAAGAGACTCTTTTTCAATTTTTGTCGTCGGTGCTGTCTGTTCTTGTGAATTAGCAGGATCAGTATTGGCATTGCCATTTTGATCCCTATCAGGAATTTTTATTGACAGTTTTTTAAAGCTTGCTGCTAGGCTACTATCATCACCTGACATCTTAAGTGAATTCTCACTTTGTGATCTAGAAATAGACTCCTGATCATCAGAGACATTGTCCTTTGAAGTGGAGGAACCATTCACACCATTCTTAACAGTATTGCTTGTGTTATCCTTGTCAGTATTATTTGTGTTATCCCCATTGCGAACTTTGGAACTTCCAGGATGTTTGATTCTCAATGGCCTTCTCCGTGTCTTCCCACCTGAGCCAGTTCTTGGTGGTCTGGGTTGCATTGTTGTTTGAGTAGCTTCCACCTCTAACTGGCTACTGGAAGATTCTGATTGAAAATAAGTAGCATCTGATAAAGACCTCTGGTATGGAAGTCTATGAGTTAGTCCACTACTTTCACGTCCACTTTCAGGCTCAAGCGCGGGTGAAACAGATGTTAACTGAAGGATTGAGCCACTGTGATTTAATCCTGAAGAAGATCGGCCACCTGCAGAAGATGCTCCTCCTTCACGAGAAGACTTTCTTGCATGTTTAGGAATAACAACTTTTGAGCCAAATGCAATATGTGTGGGTTGTTCTTCTGGTTTGTGTCCTGACACATCAGCTTCAGTAAGGATTGGTGTTGAAGGCGGAGGGAGGCCAGCTCTCTCTCTTGCTTTGATTTCTGCCTGTAATATCTTGGTCATATTGATGACCTTGAAGAAAAATACAACAAATTTGTTTTCATAGGATGAGGAAAATTTAATCCTACCAAAGAAGGAAAAAAATTTTTTATACCTCAATCTTGAAATCAAAGCTGTTGCAAGATGTATTTACTTAGTCATCGATTTATCTAAAACCGAAACATCAAGTACTTGCTGAAAGGCATTTTAATTTATGAAATCACATTTATTGAAAATATTTATGGAGTGCTGACCATAACTGCCTTACATGTAACATTGTCTGAAAGTAACGAGATACACCAAGATTTTTTTTTTCCAAAATATATCAGCATGTGAACCTAATAATAGTAACAGACTCTGTGGCTCAGCGGTTGAGAAATTCAGAGTGCAAAGGCTTTGATTCCTTATGGGAACTCAGAATTTTTCTCTATCCCTGGTTTGTGACAAGGCGATAAGTCATCCCTTTTCAAATATAAAATAACCATTTCAAAAACAAAATGTAAAAATACCACCAGCAGTTAAATCACGTCTAACACATTTCTAATCAGCAAGACATAATTCACAAAACAAGGTGTAAAAATGAAGCAAGGGAGATAATTACCGTCGATAAATTAATTATGGTCCAAACCACAGGAGCAGTCCAACATGAATAGGTTTAATAGCGCTTTCAGTCACCGCATATTAAACATTAATACAAGTATATTACAGTAAGCCTGCACTGAACCAGCTACGTAAACAAAAAGAATAAAAATAAAACAGTACTCATACCTGTGTGTAATAAAGGATGTCTGGTGAAGTCGAGAGCTGAAGTGATTTGGGTATATTGTCTGACTCTCCGCTGTTTGTATTCTCGCAATTGTAGAGTTCATCGTCGTCCGTAGTATCTAACGGTTGCAACTTCATTGTGAAGATTTTCCTTAAACGACAACTCGCAGAAATTGTCAAGTTTTCCAGAGCATTAAAAGACTCTCCCTTGAACGTTTCTCCTACCAGTGATCGTAGATCAAAACAAAGATTTAACCAGACACCAAGGCGAAGGATGTTAAGGGGAAATCGCGCGTGAAGTTGTGTTATAGTGATTTCTCTGTGATTTGAGGAGAGCAGAATGCGACGTTTGTTGTTTCCAGAGCTGTCTGAAACACCAAACTCTAAAGAAAACGAGTGCCCCAGTGGCACATATAATTGCAAAACCAAATACCGCTGTGTAAGTCCTAACGATTGCTTCTCGTCTTTAGGTAAGCTCATTTTCGTTGTGGTTGTCTCGCCCTCCAAAATGTAAACAAAACTCTTTACGTCCTTATCGTAAACTTTGTTTTTGGTTGAAGCACTTCCACTCAGCCTCCATTTTGCGACCGGGTCTCGTCCTTGAGCACTGAAAACTTCCACGTAAGAGCCACCCTATTTACACGAATCGAAAGAGAAATAACAAAACGTTACAGTAATCAAGCTTGGTTTGAAAAATATGTAACCATGCAAGCTAACCGATTTGGCCGCACTATGCTAATTTACTTACTTGAAACTCATGCTTAAACATTTTTTGCCGCCACAAACAAGAATCTCTAAGCGAAATATTTCAAAAATAGTCGAAATTTGAAGATAAGGGTTAATCCGTCGAGGAGACTTCGTTAAAAACGCGAAAAAGGTTCTTTGCTGCCGTACAAATTCGTCGCCATCATTAATCGACCCAGAGCCTCGTTTCTTTACATTTATTCTCGTTCCCAGACCTGAACTACTCTCTCGGCCGGTAGGACCTTGGCACAGGAAGTGACGCTCTTCTGAACTCTTGAGACCTAATAAATTTTTAGATTTTTGTTCACGTTTACTGTTAAGAGCAAAGATAAACATGACCAAATAATCTTGAACTGGAGTGTCTTTGTTAAATTTATCATGAAAAGGATGGACGCTGTCATACATATGGAAAGAAAAAGCAAGAAATATCCGGAGTTCTCCAAGTACTACAAGTTTCTTCATTTGGTCTCGTCACGCAATCCTAAATTTCTCACATATAAATTTGGTTTTTGATTAAAAAAAAAGCACCAACCTAAAAAAAGTTTGTCAGGGGTCTAAGGTTTTCTCTCCATAAGAGTGTTGCGTGACGGAAATACCGAGACTAAACCCTGGAAACCATAGAAAGCTATAAAAAATCCTCCAATTTCTCTTCCTTTGTCTTAATCTCAAGTATCTCCCCTATCACCCTGTTCTAGTGGCTATCTAGGATCGGGGGAGAAGGCAAGACCAGTAAATTTACGCCTCCATCCACACCCCCACCCCCACCTCGTCAGATTCTTAGACCAGCTCTAATGCGAAATCGAGGCTAGCCTAACTCACGTGTGAGCGCCGGAAAACACTGATTCTTTGTGAATGTCACCAAGAGAAATATATTGGCGATGGAAAAAGCAAAAAATGTCCTGGAAAGAGTTGTTTTGAATGGTGATCCGAATTTAGATTTGTCTTCTTTGGATCTTGACTCTTTGCCGTGTGATATTCTATCTAAAACACTCCGTCATGTCACCATTTTGAACGTCGATTACAATGATTTGAAATACTTACCAAACGAGATTTCTGTCTTATTTTCATTGAAAGAACTATCCGCTACGGGTAACCAGCTGAAAGAACTTCCGTATACTATGGTAGAGCTAAAAAAACTGGAATCACTTCACCTAAACGAGAACTGCTTACACGAAGTGCCTGCCTTTTTAGCGCAGCTGCAGCATTTGCAAATTCTGGACGCCATTGGCAATGGAATCGAATCCTGGAAGGAGGGACTTGCGGAATGTCTGTCGGAACTGCGGCTGGATGAGAATAACCTGACAACCCTACCCGAGTCTTTCAGTCGTATGAGGAATCTAAAGGTAATGGAGTTGGGAGATAACAATCTGACAAGCTTGCCAGAGGATATAGGTGCACTGAGCAAGCTAGAAATCTTAAACTTAAGCCATAACAACTTGTCTAATCTACCACACTCACTGGGAGACCTACTTAATTTAAAGATGTTTGACCTAAGTGGTAACAAGATTGAAAATCTACCAGAAAAATTTCATTCTGCCAACACCATAGAAAATCTCTTTATTGACAATAACTATCTGAAGTCCTTGCCTGCTTGGTTTGGACAGTTGAGTCACATCAAGAATCTAGGAATAGCGGACAATGAGTTGTCAGGAAATCCTCTTCCAGATTCCTTTGGAACTGCATCTGGAAAGACATTGAAAACTTTGGATCTTTCTGCAAACAACATCTCAAACTTACCAGAAACTATAGGGGACTTAAAGAAGCTGGAGAAGCTGAAGCTTGGAAGTACAATTTGTGAACTGGAAAGAAGGGCATTTCAAAATGGAAACTGGCTTTTAACACTGCCAAGTAGCTTTGGATGGATGTTGAACCTACAGAAGTTGTATTTAGATGAGAATCAGTTAGTGGAGTTGCCAGAAAACTTTGGTTATCTAGAAAATTTGGAATGGGTTGATTTTGGTCAAAATCGTCTGCAAAGACTGCCTCCCTCATTTTGTTCCCTGTCTAAGCTTTGGTACCTTCAGCTGTCTCAAAACTACCTAAAAACTCTTCCTGATGATTTTGGCAATCTTACTAGTCTGATTGAATTAAGGTTGAACAACAACTACCTTACAGAGCTCCCCAGTTCATTTGCAAATTTGACTAAACTTCAAACTCTTGATTTGTTCCACAATGAACTCACAAAGATTCCTAAAGAACTGTTGAATCTTAAGATGCTCTTGAGACTGGACTTGGATAAAAATAAATTTAAACTGAAAGCATGGAAAGTCCCAAAGTTGACAAAGCAAGTTAAATATCCAGACAGAGATCCGAGCTTGAAAGAAGACTGGCGTGGAAAGGTGAGGGAGGATTATATCGACACTGGTGAGGTGAAAACTATTGAGATACTTAATGATGTCAATGATGCAAGTGAAGATGACTCTGATGAGGATGATGTTGATGGCCTAAGTTATAGTGAAGCAGCTTTAGAATATGCCATGAAAAGAAGTTTGTCTATTTGGAAGTCACATGAAGGTGGGTACTTTCAGAATTGGCTTTGGATCATGTTCAATTCTCAGATCTAGAGCTTATTTGTGCAAAGTCCTGATCACTTAACCCTTTCACTCCCAAGATCTCATCAGTAATTCTCCTTGCTGTCTGCCATACAATCTTTACAAGGTTACTTTGGAGAATTTGGTATTTGATCTAGTAAATTTTGTGATAATCCCCTCAGTGATATTTTCTTTTTATCATCCCTCGTCTGCTTGATATTGTAAGGAGAAATTATGTCTTTGTCACTCATGAGAGTTAAAGGGTTAACAGAACTGAAGCAATGTTTTTAATTCTAAATCGTGGGGCAGGTTTTAGCTCAAAAACCTTTCCATTTATTTTTGTTTCCTGATATCTGTATTGTTACCCTTAAATAACTTTTAATGTGCTCTTTTTGATTTGGAACATGGTAAACACAAAACAATTTTGTAGGACCAGTAACTCCAGGACTTAACCCTTTGACTGCAAAGATTGACTAGCATCTAATTTCTCCTTACAATATCACCCCTGAGTCAAACATTAAGGTCATGAGAATAAAGGAAATGATCAGCAACTAAAGAACCTCTTGAATGTTCAACAAATTCCTCTTGGCAGCACCCTAGGAAATGTGTAGAGAACAGTATGGAGAATATGCATACTGATGTTAGGGTGTAAAGGATTATGGGAAATGAGCTTCTAATATCACCTTTAGAGCTTTTATATCCTACATATTCCTTTCCTGTACCCCTTCCTCCTTCTTCTTTTGTCCAATCTGTCCCCCAGCCCCCCCTCCCTCTTTACCTTTGAGGCATTTTATCCACTTATTAAATTATTTAAATTAACCTTTTTTTTTCTCTTTGCAACAGGCCCAGATGAGAGAGAGGTTCGTGATAGAGAACAAACTACAAGAGGGTTAATTCCCAAGTTTCCCTCAAAATACCAACCTCAGGAGACGGAGACCATTGTTGAACTTTCTAAAACCATTTATACGGAAATTTTTGAAGATGCCGATGATTTATCTGAGAATGAGTCCAATATGAGAAGTCTAGCTCAGTTGGAAGACCATACAGACACAAAAAATGCGAGCATCAACGATCTATCAAATGGAGCTCTCTTAGAAGGACCTCAGCAAGATGGACCTCAGTCAAGAGGGTCTCTGTCAGATGGGCCATTGCCAAGTGCACTGGACACAGTTGAGGACTGGGATAAGGAGATTGAAGATTCCTTGGCTTACAATCTTGTACTGGAAACGTTTAAGCAAAGGAGTTATAACAAAGTTAATTTTCAAAACCAACTGCAAAACTTGCTTTACTCCTATCCTCCTGCATCCCAGGCCTTCACCAAGACAGCAAACTATGAATCAGCTGTTTACTCATTCCCTGCACCACATCTGTGCAGTGATCAGGTGTCTTGCTCCTTAGATGCTGGGCAGTTTGATGATGCTGATGAGGAGGTGCTTGCTAAATTGTGAGTCTTGTTTAAGATACATCTTGTTTGAAGTTTTAGCCAATATCATCAGTTATGCTCTGAACCTCAGAGGTTTAGTATCACATTTGTTGTGTTACATTTGTAAATTTTAGATGGAATGAATTAGCTATTCCTTTTTTCTTGTTCTGTGTATTTTTTGTTGTACAACTGTAAGGTAAATAAATCCTAGTTGATAGAGCAGATTATTTCTACTAACTCATAGTTTTGTTTTTTACCGAACATTGTGGTTAAACTAGAGCAACCATGTTGATGTATTTTTCATAACGGCAGTTTAGAGAGTTTAGTTGCGAGTCTGTCGTTGAAATAATGATTAAAAAGGTGCTCTCCCAATTATCCATGTGGTTTTTTTTTTCATCTCCCTTACGAGACCCCACGCAAGGACCTAAAGAACCTCTTTTTGTCTCAGTAGAGTCGGTCTCGTGCCTGTTGTACACAATTTTCGGACGCGTGTATACACGCGCGCAAGTGAGGGAAACTAACCTAAATTGTTTTTAGCAGGAAATTTAGTGTTAACAACTGAGTTGAAAACGCAAATTGACTACCGTAAAGAGTTTAAAGGCTGTCGTTTCGAGCGTTGGCTTTGTTATCTCCCCTCTGATTTACATTTTCAACTAAGTTGTTAACACTAGATTACCAGCTATACTCTCCCACCGACGCAGCACCACAGTTTCTTTAGAAACTTACCCCCTTTATAAATTGTTTTTAAACAGGCACCGGAACACAATTTGTAGCAAAAGGAAGTATCTTTTGTTTCTTTCTTTCTTTTCCATACACCAAGACTTTTAACAAACAATTTAGGCTGCCTGTGATACACTGTGCATCCTGAATGCGCATTTTTTTCACGCGAAATTTCAGTTTCGTACCCCGTGGTCACGTTCTCCTGGGGAGAGGGTGGTGTGACCTCTGAGAACGAGATGGACGTAATATGCGCTAGCGGCTTCAGCATCATAAATTACCTATATTCTTGGAATACAGAAATACACTGACGAATTGTAGTTAGTCTCCATTATACGCGGACAGAGAGCTATTCACCCATTTTTGGGAACGGGGGGAACTCATTTACTGTGGGGGGTGAGAAATGCCCTTTAGTTTTTATTTGCGAATATAAAGCACCTTTCTAAAATGTGAAAATTTGAAATCCTGGTTGTCTGAGGTTTTTTAACTCAAAATTTACATACAAATAATTTTGCTCTCGCGTGCTATGATTTTCATTCCTTCATTTTTTTAACCACCTGGTCTTTTTGTTTGTTTTCTTTTTTCCTTTTTTTTTTGTGCCTTTTACTTTTTTGTATGGAAAATTGATCGTGACGTACTCTTCAAATAGAAGTGACATTTGACGTCTCCTTTGAATTGGAAACTGTTTGTTGTATAAATCAGGTGATAAATTTGGAAACAACGTTACTGTTGTAAAACAGTTGTCGGTTAACATTGCTTGCTTGCGTTTGTTTTTCCATGGAACGACTCGACCGTGTTGTCTTGTGGCATATTGCAAGTTTCCTCGATCCTGCAGATATTGCGCATTTCCGAGGAACTTGTCGGAGGTTGTACTCATTGCTGCCCAAGGTTACTGTGACTAAAGATCTGTGGGAAGGAAATGACTTTCATATCCACGGTTCACGTGAAGGCCACTGGTGTCCTGAAAAGTACTTCGACGGACCAATACTCGCAGGTAATTTGCTGAAGCTAGAACTTTCGGTTGTGTGGAAGGACCAAGGCTGGGGGAACAAAAAAGGAGAGCTGTTCGCCTATTTGATGAGACCAAGTCGCACAGGAGAACCAGTTAAGATTGCCGAACACAGAAGATTGTTTGGCATCGCAGACCATTGCCAAACGAAACCAAATACAGAGATCGGTAGAGAGTCCGCTATTGTGGCCAAGTCGAAGAAAGGGGATTTTTGCAGATTTATGAGAGTCGCTGGCGGTGGAGGAGGACATGAACTGTTCGTAAATAAATTTCAGGTCAAGGCTACAATATGTGAAGTGGAGTGTTAAACTTAGTTTATTTGAAAAGTTTGATCAATTCAAAACGAGTGAACATATAACTGGTATTCATCGCTTTAAAGACAATTCGCATTAGAGGGGCGGTATTTGAACTATATTTTTTAGTGGTCAATGTGATTGTCAAAAGGTATCCAATTCAAACTGAGACTCAGAGAGGGAAAAAATCTCAGGGATTAAGAATATTCTCTAGTCATGACCACTGTTTTCTTTCAAGATCAACTGAGTTCCTGAATTGAATAATACGACCAAGTTAGCCTTAAGCTAGCCAAACATGAATTTATAACCAAAATTAAAAAAAAACATTGAGATAAATAGTTAAATGCGTATGTAAAAACTGAAACAAAATGGACGTTTTAACCTAGGAGCAATGATTATTATTATGAATTATCTAAAACGGGCTGCCAAACCGAAATTGATTTTCAAAAGCCCCCCTCTGAATCAGGGTTGATATCAACCGGAGACTTGTTGAATTTTTTTTTCGCCTGTAAATCAATAATTAATGTAATTTAAATTAAACCATACTTATCAAATTTGAGGTATTTTTCTCTTGAGTTTTAACACAGTTTTAAAAAATCAATAACAGGACTTTGATTCATCCGGCCTGTAATCAAACTTCTCACTGAAAATTTAGACTCTGATAACTTTAATGATGATGATAACGTTAACAGACTGTTACCGTAATTTCCGGCCGTTTACCCGCACGGCCGATTACCCGCACCGGCCGATTATTGCATGCGGCGAAAAAGAAAGTCAACAGATTACCCGCACTGGTGGATAACCCGCACGTTATATTATTCAACTTTTTGATGGCGAAGACGTGACATTAAGGTGCTACATTTCAGTCTTTTAATAGTTGTCTGATCTAACTTTCGAAAACTTGAAAGCTTCTTTGTCGAGTTTAAAGGTCAAGGAAATTCAGACGCGTGCACAGTTCTGTGTCAATATTAGCATGTTCTTTATTAATAAAATTATACAGTTAAAACACTAGCGGCCCATGCCCAAATCTCAACGTTTCATACTTGACAGAATGCGAATTTGTGGCCACATTTTGTGCGAGCGATCGTTCAGCGCCATGTTGATTCGTTGAAAGAAAGCTGGGTGAATGTTAAAACTTGAATTATTAAGTACTGTCGGCGATTTCTGAAAGAACTAGATATCTCCGGTTCTATTGGGTCTATCAAGTCCCATAAAACGGGAAAATTCTCTTTAGCTCAAGCTAGTGTTAAATGGAAATTTGTTGTTGATGCTCCGGATATCTTTGGATTATTTTTGTCACCATCAAGGTTTTGTTTTCACGCGTGCCGATAGCAGTTTGTTCGTCACGCAACTAATTATGCGTGAAATAAACTCGAGTCGGCATCATGTTTTCGTGCCGCTTTGTGGCACTCTTACTACAGTAAAATTCATTTGAGAGGTGGAAACGCATGAAGGTGAGAATTTTTTTCAATTCAACTACCAGTAGATTTTAAAATTGTCACATTACCCGCACCTCCCTGTTACCCGCAGTGGCGCGCGTTTGACGCAAAATCAACAGATTACCCGCGGGTAAACGGCCGGAAATTACTGTAAGCGTAGAAAACAAATTATGTCCCGACCTCACCTCCCCGCGGGGTACAACCCATAGGTTCTGTGGCGTGACTATGTCGCGTGACGGATTTGATTAAAAGAACTATTGCTGGTTTTCAGTGTCACGCCATTCAAAATAGATCAAAATAAAAAATAAAAACCGTTCAATCGATTTAGTCTAGAATCTGGAAATAGAAAGAAGCTAGATATGTAAAGACTCTCGCCAAGATTCAGGTCACAGCAATTTTTCTTACGGAAGATATGAGGAGAAACGTTTTTCCCAAATTTATAGAGATTTGTATGGAGCCGCCATGCTGGTGCCCACCTAGATGGGCACCAACATGGCGGCCGGAAACCAGCAGAAACATCTGTCACTGAGTTTTGCTACAAAAGCGTGAATTTATCTCTCTAAGAACTCATAAACGTAACAATAATACTTTATTCTAATACAAGAACTGTTCAGATAGCTGAATTTCCCTAAATAAGTCACCTTTTAAACCAACATAACAGCTCTCTCGCTCGTCATGTAAAGGCCACGTCACGCAAAAGCTTAGAAATTCAATAGTAGTCTATCACTAAACCAAGAACCCATTTGGAGTGAAAATTTGTCTGAATATTAGTTTTTAGCTGCTCTAATACATCATGAAAGTAAAATCTCAGGAGGATCAATAGTTCTGAAGTCTGAAATTTAGTGACGTCACGTGAAAACCAGCAATATTTTAGTAACATTAACATTTCTTGGCCAAAATAACCAAAACAAAGCTTGTTTCCTTTGGTGGTATAAAAAGCTGTTCTATTTCATGTTCGTTGTTATATTTCATTATGATTTTTTTATCGAAATACAAGCTTAAGTTTTTAGTGATAATTATCATTCACATCCGTTTTAAGTTTCGCTGTCGTTTCTGGAAGTCAGCAGCTGCTAGAACTTAAGACAAGGCGGAAGGATTGACAGTGAAACAGTGGAGAAGGCCGAGTAACGTAGCTGTTTAAAACTACAGTCGGTTAAAGACATCGTTTGTTTACACAGGACATGTAATAGGATGCATTCAATGCTGCCTGAAGTCGTGACCGAGTATCAGTGGAAAGGAGAGGATTTTCACATCTTTGGTCCGAGAGGTGGTCACTGGGCTCCTGAACATTATTTTGACGGACCAGTACTCCCGGGTAACGCGATAAAACTAGAATCGTCTGTGCTATGGGAAGATCAAGGTTTTGGGAACAGGAAAGGAGAATTGTTCGTCCATTTAATGCGACCAAGTCGTACAGGAAAACCCCTCCAGATAGCAGAACACCGACAGTTGTTTGGTATCGCAGAGCACTACGATAAGACGGCACATAAAGTGCTTGGTAGAGAAGATCCCATCATAGCTAAGTCAAGAAAAGGTGATTTCTATCGATTTATGAGGAATGCTGGTGGCGGGGGAGGCCATCAACTGAAAGTTAAAAACTTCAGAATCAAGGCTACACTTTGCGAAGTCAAGAGTTGAAATGATCGAGTTTCACTAAATAAACTGGTGGGCCTTTTGCTTAAAACTCTGACTCACATATCGAAGAATTTGTACTTCATGAGACAACCTTTCCTGATTAGTCCTGATTACAGTAATTTTTTTTATTATAACCTCTAAACTTGCATGGTTTGGATTTTCATGAGTGAAGCATGTATTGGGTATTTGTCTCTAGAGTTTCATCTCATCTTTATTTATGTTATGTTCTATATCAAAACAGGCAAAATTGAAAGACAGCAAATTGTGGTGCATGGAGCTGTGACAATGGAAAGCAACAACGAAATAAAAAGTTATACTTTAGCACTGTGGGTTGGCTGAATCATGTTTTGATTTTGGTCTGGCATAAATGAGAATCGCAATGAACTGAACCATGAACCATGAACAATGTACCAGGCCAAGTTTAGGAGTCAAATGAAACATTGAAGACAGTGGGGATGGTGAGTACTCTCACCACTGCCCCAGACACATTTAAGGTGGCCTCATGTTGAGGCTGAGTGGCTCTGTGGGCCCTTAACTGTCATTGCCATTTCCCTTCATTGCTTATAGCAGTCACTTCAGTAATACTAGGGAGAGTAGAAGCACTTCCTTCTCCCCAAGAGTTTGGTCAGTCTAATTAAATAAGGGGTGTAAGTTTCCAAAGAAACTGTGGTGCTGCATCAGTGGGGTGTATAACTAGATAATTTGGTTTTTAGAGTTTCTAAAGGTGACTTTTCAGGTATTTTCTCCTAATTAACCTATCAATATCATGGCACCCCTCCAAGAAGAATGGTACTGTGACAAAAGAAGTTTTCTATAAAATACACAACACAAACAAGTGACACAGCCTACTCAAACCCACATCAATCAATCTGGGGTCTGAGGTGTTAGACATCAAGCTAGCTGGTAATTCTTACGAAGATTGCCAGAGTATGCAATTGAGTGTAGCTGTAACGTAGTTTAATTGTAAATAAACACTCTTCTTTGTTAGCAGAAATATATTTGCACTGCCATAACATATGAAAATAAGCTCTGTTAAATTAACTGATCATGAAACTCGGAAAGCTGTGAATACTTTGACTTGATTCTGACAGATGGATCGAGATTACCAGCTATACTCTCCCACCGACGCAGCACCACAGTTTCTTTAGAAACTTACCCCCTTTATAAATTGTTTTTAAACAGGCATCGGAACACAATTTGCAGCAAAAGGAAGTATCTTTTGTTTCTTTCTTGTTCATACACCAAGACTTTTAACAAGCAATTTAGGCTGCCTGTGATACACTGTGCATCCTGAATGCGCATTTTTTCACGCGAAATTTCAGTTTCGTACCCCGTGGTCACGTTCTCCTGGGGAGGGGGTGGTGTGACCTCTGAGAACAAGATGGACGTAATATGCGCTAGCGGTTTCAGCATCATAAAATACCTATATTCTTGGAATACAGAAACACACTGACGAATTATAGTTAGTCTCCATTTTACGCGGACAGAGAGCTATTCATCCATTTTTGGGAGCGGGGGGAACCCATTTACTTTGAGGGGTGGGAAATGCCCTTTAGTTCTTATTTGCGAATATAAAGCACCTTTCTAAAATGTGAAAATTTGAAATCCTGGTTGTCTGAGGTTTCTTAACTCAAAATTTACATACAAATAATTTTGCCCTCGCATGCTATGATTTTCATTCCTTCATTTTTTTTATCCACTTGGTCTTTTTGTTTGTTTTCTTTTTTCCTTTTGTTTTTGTGCCTTTTACTTTTTTGTATGGAAAATTGATCGTGACTGACTCTTCAAATAGAAGTGACATTTGACGTCTCCTTTGAATTGGAAACTGTTTGTTGTATAAATCAGGAGATAAATTTGGAAACAACGTTACTGTTGCAAAGCAGTTGTCGGTTAACATTGCTTGCTTGCGTTTGTTATTCCATGGAACGACTCGACCGTGTTTTCTTGTGGCATATTGCAAGTTTCCTCGATCCTGCAGATATTGCGCATTTCCGAGGAACTTGTCGGAGGTTGTACTCATTGCTGCCCAAGGTTACTGTGACTAAAGATCTGTGGGAAGGAAATGACTTTCATATCCACGGTTCACGTGAAGGCCACTGGTGTCCTGAAAAGTACTTCGACGGACCAATACTCGCAGGTAATTTGCTGAAGCTAGAACTTTCGGTTGTGTGGAAGGACCAAGGCTGGGGGAACAAAAAAGGAGAGCTGTTCGCCTATTTGATGAGACCAAGTCGTACAGGAGAACCAGTTAAGATTGCCGAACACAGAAGATTGTTTGGCATCGCAGACCATTGCCAAACGAAACCGAATGCAGAGATCGGTAGAGAGTACGCTATTGTGGCCAAGTCGAAGAAAGGAGATTTTTGCAGATTTATGAGAAACGCTGGCGGTGGAGGAGGACATGAACTGTTCGTAAATAAATTTCAGGTCAAGGCTACAATATGTGAAGTGGAGTGTGAAACTTAGTTTATTTGAAAATTTTGATCAATTCAAAACGAGCGAACATATAACTGGTATTCATCGCTTTGAAGACAACTCGCATCAGAGGAGCGGTATTTGAAAAATATTTTTTAGTTGTCAATGTGATTTTCAAAGGGTATCCGATTCAAACTCAGAGACTCAGAGAGGGAAAAAATCCCAGGGATTAAGAATATTCTCTAGTCATGACCACTGCCTTCTTTCAAGACCAACTGAGTTCCTGAATTGAATAATACGACCAAGCTAGCCTTAAACTAGCCTTAAGCTAGCCAAACCTGAATTTATAACCAAAATTAAAAAAAAAAACAATGAGATAAAAAGTAAAATGAGTATGTAAAAACTGAAACAAAACGCACGTTTTAACCGAGGAGCAATGATTCTTGTTACGAATTATCTAAAACGGGCTGCCAAACCGAAATTGATTTTCAAAAATTTTCAAAAGCCCCCTCTGAATCAGAGTTGATATCAACCGGAGACATGTTGAATTTTTTTTTTTTTTACGTTTGTAGATCAATAATTAATGTAATTTGTAAAAACTATACTTATCAAATTTGAGGTATTTTTCTCTTGAATTTTAACGCAGTTTTAAAAAATCAATAACAGGACTTTAATTCATCCAGCCTGTAATCAAACTTCTCACTGAAAATTTAGACTCTGATAACTGTAATGATGATGATAACGTTAACAGACTGTTAAGCGTAGAAAACAAATTATGCCCCGACCTCACCTCCCCGCGGGGTACAACCCATAGGTTCTGTAGCGTGACCATGTCGCGTGACGGATTTGATTAAAAGAATTATATGTTAGCATTAACATTTCTCGGCCAAAATAACCAAAACAAAGATTATTTCCTTTGCTGGTATAAAAAGCTGTTCTATTTCATGTTCGTTGTTACATTTCATGCTTTTTGTCGAAATAGTTGCTTAAGTTTTGAGTGATAATTATTATTCACATCCGTTTTAAGTTTCGCTTTCGTTTCTTAAACTGAGCCAGCAGCTTCTAGAAGTTAAGACAAGCCGGAAGGATTGACAGTGAAACAGTAGAGAAGGCCGAGTAACGTAGCTGTTTAAAACTACAGTCGGTTAAATCGCCTGTTAATTTTGTTGCCTGATGGAACTGCTCGACGAACTGGTGTTAAGACATATTGCAAGTTTCCTTGATCCGAAAGACATTGTTTGTTTACACAGGACATGCAGAAGGATGCATACAATGTTGCCTGAAGTTGTTGTGACCGAGTATCAGTGGAAAGGAGAGGATTTTCACATCTTTGGTCCGAGAGGTGGTCACTGGGCTCCTGAACATTATTTTGACGGACCGGTACTCCCGGGTAACGCGATAAAACTAGAATCGTCTGTGCTATGGGAAGATCAAGGTTTTGGGAACAGGAAAGGGGAATTGTTCATTCATTTGATGCGACCAAGTCGTACAGGAAAACCCCTCCAGATAGCAGAACACCGACAGTTGTTTGGTATCGCAGAGCACTACGAAAAGACGGCACATAAAGTGCTTAGTAAAGAAGATCCCATCATAGCTGAGTCAAGAAAAGGTGATTTCTATAGATTTATGAGGAATGCTGGTGGCGGGGGAGGCCATCAACTGAAAGTTAAAAACTTCAGAGTCAAGGCTACACTTTGCGAAGTCAAAAACTGAGATAATCGAGTTTCAATAAATAAACTGGTGTCCTTTTGCTTAAAACAAGATAATTTGGTTTTAGAGTTTCTAAAGGTGACTTTTCAGGTATTGTCTCCTAATTAATCTATCAGTATCATGGCACCCCTCCAAGAAGAATGGCACTGGGACATTAAGAAGTTTTCTATAAAATACACAACATAAAAAAGTGTCAGAGCCTACTCAAACCTACATTAATCAATCTGGGGTCTGGGGAGTTAAACATCAAGCTAGCTGGTATTTCTTACAAAGATTGCCAGTGTATGCAATTGAGTGTAGATGTAATGTAGTTTAATTGTGAATAAATACTCTTCTTTGCCGGTTAGCAGAAATGTTTGCACTGCCATAACATATGAAGAAAAACTCAATTAAATTACTGAAAACTGATCATCATAAAACTCAGAAAGCTGCAAACACTTTGACTTGATTCTGATAGATGGATTGTGTACTGACCAATCACAATAAATTTCAGGACATGTGAGAAACACTACAAACTACAATCTATCATCATTGCTATTTCAGTTTAGTTTCGTGACACCTTGATAACATTCCATAAATATTTCTGGTGTTCACAATTTTCTGACTTTCACAGGAATATCTTTTATTTATTTAGATCAAATATTATTCTGCAAGCATTATATGTAGCTGTCAGTGATTGGGATTGTATGCAACATGTAAGATGAATACTTCTATGGCCAATACTTGGCTAATTAACAATTAACTGTCTGTATTACTATGAAGCTCTAGACTCTCAGGTATTTCAGGAAAATGTGAAAACTATGATTGAAGAACAAAAAAATTGAAAATAGTAACAAATTTCTTGATTTATACGGCAATTAATATAGAACACAGTATCAATAAGTATAAAACTTAATCAAACTAAAATATATCAATAATAAAAGTTATTAAATATTGAGGCCCAAAAAGCAATAAGAAGCAAAAAATTGTCATCACTAATTTCATCATGTATAAATCAAAACATGGTAAAAGCTGCCATAAAAGAGACTTAGGTTAACAACTAATGCTAATTTTCTTTGGTTGCCTCATTAGTAGTTCCAGGCTCCTCCTCTTCCCTTAAGAATGGAAAGGTATATAAACATATTCCAAAGTCAAGAACTTTAACTAACCCCTCCCTAACTAATTGTTACTTGAGAATCATCCTTTCTATACCCTTACACCCTTACTTAATCCCTGCTTCATCAAAAAGTCCTTCTCACGAGTCAGAAGGAGTGAACAAAAAAAAAACATTGATGTTAGCATGCTGTGTCTCACCCCCAGCAAGGCTGTTCATTTATCAATCAAACCTATTTTATTAGTACCAAACAAGATGTCATATGAGGAGAGAGACTAGCTTTAAATTAGCTATTTTGTGGGCTGGTGCTGTTTTGTATCTAATACTATGCAAAAAATATAATTTCATCTACAGTAGATTTGTAAGAAACTATAGTTTGCTCTTAATCATTCATCAGGAAAGCCATTATCTTGCACAATTGTCCTATACACCTCAGCTGAAAGTTTTGGGGTCCGTGGTCGGTTGGGGTCATTAAAGTTTACATGATGAATGCCAAATCTAAATCGATAGCCATCATCCCATTCAAAGTTATCCAAAAGTGACCAAACAAAATATCCCTTCAATTTGACACCATCCAGTTTCACAGCTTTCAAAGCTTCATTGATATATCCTCTCAGATATGTGACACGGTCTCTGTCTTGGAGAGCAGCAGGCAACTCTAGATCATGTTCACCATGAGCACTGAAACCATTCTCAGTAACAATGATTTCCGGATCATTGTATTGTTCTTTCAACCACACCAGCATTTTGCGCATACCCCAAGGAACACAATATAACCAAGAGGGGTCCCCTGAAGAAGACAATTGATAAAAAATAAATAAATAAATATCAGTTCTTTAAAATTTTATTTAGTACTACATTTATGACTACAAACAATAGAGGGCTTCATTTCATCTTTCAGATTGTTCTAAAGTATGATTCACATCATGATTATAAATGAACTACATTTTCTTACAGCTGGGTTTAATCAAATTGGAAATCCATAGATGGAGAATTATTATGACAGATAAAATAAAACAATGTAGTAAGTAGACAACAATAAACACCACAAATACTGCTGAAATGTGAGATTATTAAAAAGAATAACTGCTGAAATATAATTATCATGGTATAAAGAAAAAAAGCCAATTAGGTGTGAAAATTTGAAACTGTAAGGCGTCATCTCAATGCCACAATATATAATTCTAACCTTTCAGCCATGTTGGATCCCGTGATGTCTTCACTTCCTGATCAGTAAAGTAACCCCATGTGACATTTTCCTCTTTGGACAAGTCATGATATTCTGCAAATGACACTGAATAGAAATTAAGAGCTAAAAAGTCAGCGGTGCCCTTAAGTAACCTCTTTTGTTCTGAAGTGAAGGATGGAAGCCTGCAATAAAAGTAAAAAACTGTAAACTGATGGTTGTTTATCAGGGGGCAATAAGGGCGGTGAGTATAGACCTGTAGGGTGTCAGTCAAAATAACATTGTCATTGACATGAAATAGTAATTTCAGTCATGGTATCACACTTAAATATGATCTCAAACAAACCTGGAAGTCAGTCCTTGTGCTTTATTTTTCTCCAAAATGCGCTCCTTCATGATCTCGGGATAGTCACCATTCACAAACACCGGGTGGGCCATCCAACCCAGGAACCACTGCATGCCACGATCAGCTGCTTTGATATCTTCTTCCTTGTCAGTCTTGGGTTCAAACCACTGTGCATTAACCACAATGCTCACCTTCCCTTTCTGCTTTTGTCTAAATTCCTTGTTGTAGGTGTGCCATGCTTTTGCATGGGCAAGCAACATGTTGTGACCAGCTGCATCAAAATGAGCAAGAAAAACAGGTTCATTTAGAGAACATAAATTTACTAGCTATGGCTGAAAATATTTTCCTAGCTTTGAAAGGTATTAACCCAGTGGTCTTTTTTTTTTTTTCATTTCAGGAAAATATTTTACCTTGGACTCAGATGCTGTCCATCAAAATGTTTTGCACCCCTAAGAATTATTTTTTTGTTCTTTTCACATTTGTTGGATAGGTATGTACAAAGATTCCAAGCAACATATCAGCTCTTCAGAAAAGTAAAAAAAAAACCAGCCCTCCATCTTCATTCCTCCCAAAGAAGCCTTGCACAATTTGCATACCCCCCTCCAACATTAACCTAACCCCCAAAAATAAACTTCAGTGTTCTTCCTCAACCCACCATCTCTATGGTTACTTACCCTGGTAAGGTCCACTTGCCATGTCTTTTATCCCAGGTGCAAAAACACCAAGACCATAAGCATCTAGTGCTTCCTCGTGAGGTTCATTAATTGTAAGCCATATTTCAACTCTGTCTCCAAACTCTTTGAAACAAAACTGAGCATAATCATTAAAGATATCAGATATTTCGGGATTATACCAGCCACCAATATCTTGCAATGCTTGCGGCAGGTCAAAATGGTAGAGGGTCACAGCAGGCTTGATCCCATTGGCTAACAGAGTGTCAATCAATCTGTTATAATATTTGACCCCAAGGAGATTCACTTTGTCTGCTGTTCCCTGGGGTAACACTCGGGACCATGAAATGGAAAATCGATAGTAACCAACACCAAGGTTTTTTAGGAGTGACACATCCTCTTCGATTTTGTGGTAACTATCGCATGCGACATCCCCAGTGTCATTGTTATGTATTTTACCCTCAATGTGACTAAAAGTATCCCAGATGCTGGGGCCTTTTCCATCTTCGTTCCATGCACCTTCGATCTGATAGGCCGCGGTCGCTGCTCCCCAAATAAAATCCTTAGGAAATTTCCCGTGAATAAATCCTTCTTCTGCTTTAGCTGTTGGAGACTAAATGATCATAAGATAGTGAAATGATTTAATGATTTGCAAAGCTTGCTAGTAAATTCTTTGTTCGTTCATTTAAAATTCAATTGTTCTGCCCTCGCACGAAAGGCAGATGTTATCCTATCGAGAGAAAATTAGGTCAGGCTTACCGACATTGTCGCATCAAGTTCAAGAAATACCGCGATCAGCTGAAATAAAGATGTAAATTTGATAAACGTGATTGTAATCATTCGATTGTTCCCGCTTTGAAGGGAAAAGAGACACTTAACTAACGAGAAAATCAACTGGTTAAGCCTCCCACCTTGCACTGTGATTTCCCCTCATTGTCAAACGTGTAAACCCACAAAAGATTGCGTTAAATTTGATCAATTATTAAATAATTTCAATAAAATAAAAGAATAAGCTATCCTTACCCCTCAGTTATCGCACGAGCGGGAGAATGGGAGCTAACAAACGCAATGAACCCTACCGCTTTGTAATCGTATTACCTGTAACATTTTCGTTTCTTTAAAACAGAACACACACGGGAAAAAATTGAATCTAGATTTGCTTTTAAAATGCCGAAAAGCTTACCAGACATATATGCGCAAATATGAAAAGAACATGCCAGCGCCAAAATGAAGAAAACTTCTTTCGCTTTTTCACCGTTCGAAGGTGGTTTTCGCAAGAGCCCTGGTTTTCGTCAAAATGGGGAATCACGGTAATTCATAATGGCCCTGATAAACAAGTGAAAGTTCACACAGAATGGGATAAGTACTTTTAAATTTTCTTTAAGGCAATAGGCCAGGATTTTCGTAAAAATTACTTCATAAAAGATTTCTCTGAAATGTATAAATTAATTCTCGCGTGATTAATCTGTAAGTGGGAGGCTTAGGTAACGTCACGCGATATGGTAATATTATTACTGCTGTAGCATTTTGTTCACTCGTCCTAATAAGCCTTACAGTCATGGCTGAAGGTCGGGATGAGTTTTTCAATGGATCATTTCCCGATGATTTCATGTGGGGTACGTCAACTTCGGCGTATCAAATCGAAGGCGGCTGGGATGCCGATGGTAAAGGCCCAAGTATCTGGGATAGATTTACTCAAGCCGGCGGTAACACGCACATGAATCAAACAGGCGACATAGCTTGTGATTCTTACCACAAGACCGACGAGGATATCAAGCTTTTGAAAAACCTCGGAGTGGGATATTACAGATTTTCAATCTCATGGTCGAGAGTATTACCAAAGGGTACGACTGACGAAGTGAATCACGCGGGAGTGAAATATTACAACGACTTAATCAACTCGCTGCTTCAAGATGGCATCACGCCAATGGTGGCGTTGTACCATTTCGATCTCCCCCAAGCACTGCAAGACGAGTACAATGGCTGGTTGAATCCAAAGATGGCCGACGTTTTCAACGATTATGCCAAGTTTTGTTACGAGACGTTTGGCGATCGCGTGAAATGGTGGATCACAATCAATGAGCCGTGGGAATCCGCTCTTCTTGGTCACGGATTCGGTTTAACACCTCCAGGGAAGAAAGACCTTCGCTCATCAGTATACAGAGGTAGTTGAACTGTTATATTTCCTACTCAGTGATGTATTGAAGAGTTCGTATTCAAGCACATATTTCTTGTGGTAAACGAATTACTAATACAAATATTTGTTTAAATAAAAGATCGATACTGTGTTTACAAATTTCATATCAGTCTTCCCTATCAGCTAAGAAATGAAAGTGAAAGGATGATGAGGAAAGAGCCACGGTTTCGACGATTCTTTTCGCTTTCTTTTGAATATTTCGTTCATCATCGCTATGTCATTCACAGTCACGCAATCGTGTCACATCCTCTTCAGAACTCTTCTTGTGGCTTTCAAAAGACATGATTATTTTTCCTTCACTATGCGTATTTGCAAGTGTTCGTTTCCGTCTCAAGAAAAATTACCTTAAGAGCTTAAGCAAACCACGACGGCGACGGCAACGAGGACGTGGAAACAAAAGATCTAATTAGCAGAACAATAGCTCAACACGTGCGTTTTAAAACTTTGACATTTCTTAGCCGTCCTATGCAAAACAACAACGTGAAATCACCACAATTTGTGTCGCCTCCGCGAACCGAAACTGCCACGGCAAATTATTTTAATTTCCATTTGGAACTCAGCGCTTCTTTTATACGTTATGCTGAAGTTGAGGTGTGGCGCCGCGCCGTATGAGACGGTAAACATGCAGCCATTTTTTAAATTCTAATTGAAGGCATAAATTCTTTTTTAATCGAAGTCTTCCTTGAAGTTGCCGTCCTGACTGCTCAAGGTCCCTATTAAGGGAGACATTTTCACCCACACAAGCTTTTTTATTCGTTCTCAAATGTCCACATTACTGGGTTTCACGTACGGTTTCTCATACTGATCAAACTCTCCGTCTATCTCCATTAGTTGCCTATGTAATGCTCCTTGCTCACGCCAAGGCATGGCACACATACGATCAAGTCTTCCGCGGTTCACAGCAAGGCAAAGTATCCATAATTCTCAATGCGCAATGGGGAGAGCCTAAGAGTGACGCACAAGCTGACAAGGATGCCGCAGACCGAAGTCTGGAGTGGTGGCTCGGTTGGTTTGCTCATCCAATTTTCGTCAACGGGGACTGGCCCGACATTATGAAAAAGACAGTGAAAGAGAAAAGTGACGCTAAAGGAATACCAAATAGGTAGGAAAGTCAATTTTTATTCGCATGAGAGTATTCTGCGATCGTGGCAATCGTGGATTCTTTTTTCAATTTAAGGTGGAGCTAAAAAAAAAAAAAAAAAGAAGACCTCCGACTCTTGCGCTGTTTTACTTGCGCGTTTCCCCACTCCCCGCACGAAAAAAGTACACCTAAGCACAGGTTCGTAAGCAAGATGGTAAGAGCGTATTTAGTTGAGGCAAAGGGGAACCTGTGACTCTTCTCTTTATCCGGCAAAACTGATGGGTAATAAAAATAAAACAACCCAACATGCTTCAAAATGCCAGAGAGGACGCTGCTACTGGAATTCGCAGCTGCATCCCCTGTCAGACCCGGCCCTGTAACTATCATGCATGTGAAGCAAATAAAACCCATCTTACAGCAAATACATGGGTAAACTGCAATGCTTGATCAGATTAAAACTTAGCAGCTCTGGGGCTTAGCAACTTAGAACATAATTGTTAGGAAATTGTTCAAATTGATTCTATAGTCCTATTGTGAAACTGACAAAGTGATGCAGTATGTCAATCTCCAATCTTCTTTTATTTTTGTACTGAGACACAAACAAACGACTACTTTTAATTCGATCGAGTGCCCAGATCAGTTTTTACTTCTCATACTTGATCATGTTCCTCTTCTTTTCCCTCAGACTTCCTGAGTTAACTGATCCAGAAAAACAACTCATTAAAGGAACAGCGGATTTCTTCGCTCTGAACATGTACAGTGCATTCCTTATTGAACATCAAGCATTCCCATCGGGCGTTGACTGGAACTACATGACTGATCAAGAAATGAAGACGTCTCCTCATCCGTCGTGGCAGCGAGGTAAGTCATTTGCTTTCAGAGTCCCTAACATATTTAATTAATTAGGGACCGGCAGGTAAGAGGCTCCTGGGAGCGGTCATTATTTATCCCCCGGGAGGGAGGGGAGGGGTAGGATGATTTTGGTTGTATCACAATAAAATGTTAACAGATCTCCCATAAAGCTCTCTAAAATTTTATGATTTCCCCTCCCCCCCCCCCTCCCCCCAATCATTAACAGTTAATTTGCTGGCAAATTTCTGTAGTCGCCCTTTATCATCTGTTGGCGACGGCTGATTCCCCTACCCTTACAATCCCCTTGAAAACCATGCAATCATTGGCACCCTTACAGCCAGGCGATGAATAAGGACTCTTCCCCTAATTAACATCAAGGCATTCCTTCTTACAAATCTCCCAGTTATTTCTTCCTTTACCAGGTGCCACTGTGTGGTTGTTCAATACTCCCTGGGCCTTGCGTAAGCTGCTCAACTGGGTGAAAGAACATTACAATGACCCTGAAATCATAATAACAGAGAATGGGTTTGCCGTCGATGGTGAAAATGAGCTTACAGTTGAAGAAGCCTTAAACGACGAGAAACGAGTCAATTACTTGACCTCTCATGTGAACGAAGCCTTAAAGGCAATCCGTCTGGACGGGGTTCGATTAAAAGGTTACTTTTACTGGTCACTTCTGGATAACTTTGAATGGATGGATGGATATCGAGTCCGTTTTGGTATACACCGGGTCGATTTTAATGATCCTAATCGAACCCGCACCGCTAAAAAGTCCGCAGAGGTGTATAAAGAAATCATTCGCAACAATGGTTTCCCAAGATAAAAGGATGAAAAGTCGGAGTTGTAATATCTTAACGAATGTAAACTTAGCCTAAATCCAGGGAGAAATGTTAACATGACCGAGATCGTTATACTAAGGAAACGCGTAAAAGATTCTCAAAAGTACGTATGTTTTTCGACACCTGAAGGGCGGAAGTAACTAACCTGGAATGTTCCTTATTACAGAGAGATTGTATTCGGAGTTTGCTTTGATTTCGACGTTTTTAACACAAGGATAGCATGTAACCTACCTCCATTGTCGATCAAACTGGTCTGCCTATGCAGATATATATACATATATATCTATTAAAGCAGGCGAAGACTTAGTTGTTGCTGTTGTGTTTTTCTTTAATTATTAACTCGTCTGAGGACAGAAGAAGCCCCCTCCCCCCCCCCCTCCACCCGCTCCACGAGTCGCTTACCACAAATTTATAACCTTCAGTAACCAGACTATTCAGTTTTGTGAAGAGAATTTCATTGTAAATGCTTCAATCACAAACTTTCGGCTAGATTAGAAAAGAAGACTTACACGCGTTTCATACCGCATCAAAAAAGTCTCCCTGCTTTGGTATCTTTCTCCACTACTAGCGCCATTCAAATTTCCCGCCCTCAGCACCGGCTGCGACCGACTGTATGTTTTTCCGCCATTTATGATAGTGCCAAGCTTTGTAGCTTTTTTTAGCGTTACTTATGCATTTATTCTGTTCTTATCTTCAAATACTCCCTCAAAGAAACAATTAATAGTTTGATAAATAATAATAGTTTGACAAATAATAGTTTGAAAGCGAGAGCAACACATAATAAAAGAAAATGCTTGAACTCGAGGAAGTCCTAATCATTCATCACAACGTGCGTGAAGACTGGGCTCTGGATGCACAACAAATTATGCAAAATGGCGGAGTTAAAAGCACCGGAATCTTGTGGATCTCTTCGTAGTTTGTGCATAAAAATTGTTCTCCATTATCCGAAATTGGCCGAAAAAGGATTCAGTTTGCTTCCTTTTGAGGTCATTCAAGCTATTCTTGATGCTTCTGTTCACAATCGAAGTATAGGTCTGATACAGCAGGTCTTGAAATTTTGGCCTTCGCCTGTGGCTGTCTTAAGCGGAGTTTCAAGCACCTCACGTGACGAGGAATTTGTTGCAAGGGCTGTAGTTGAGTACATTTCTAAAAGGGACGAAGCTGATAAAGTCCAAGTTATTGACCTAAGGCAAAGAAATATTGGTGAGTTTAGTAGGCTGTGAATTTTTATGCGCAAGTCAACGTAAATCCCCGCTCATTTAACTGCATGGCACTTTGCTAGTAACTTGTATGATGCCCCGCACTTCGAGCTAAGGCCAACTTATTCGTCTTATTGAAGCTAGTGACCCCGCTCAAATCCCCCACTCCTATAAAAAAATTAAAGGTGGTATACATAGCCTATTGTTAATCCTTTAACTTTATTACATAAATATTAGCTAATAATGTCAATCATATATTCAAAGCATTCTTACCTTCTTGTCCAAAGTCAGAATATTTTCAATTCAAGTCCCAGTTCACCTTGGTTGAAAGTGCCCTGGTCCTTTCCCCTGCTGATCCTGGATGACATGCAAAAGCTATTAAAATCCCCAGTAACCATAGCCTGTACACCTATCAAATGATGGAAAACTCCCTGCAAATGCCCCACTAACTCCCAGTGATGAGGGGTTTTTACATTAACCAGTGCAGTGATGTTTCATATTATTAGTTACCATTTTACTCATTGAATGTTTAGATGAACTGCTAATCTTTCTGTGCTATTGATTAAATTATTTATTCTTTGCCTAATTAATTTTGAATTACTTACCTGTTGACCCAAAAAATCTGAAATAGTACTTTTCAAAACCCTTGTTACTTCCCCCAGTAATACAATATAGCAGTGCTCTGAGTCCATAAACCCAATGAAATTTGAGAAACTGAAAACTGAGAGAAAAACCTTCACAAGAAGTCATTGATCATCTGAAAAACATGGCATTATGCCAAAAAATTTGCTAAAATTTATCTCCTCCTTCCTCTGCCCTCCCCCCCTTCCCAACTCCCATTACATCCACCAACAGGCAAAACTTGCTAAGAATAAAAGGCATACTAAAATTCAAAACTCAACATTTTACTGATTCAGTTTCCTGAAGTGTAAGCAAGAAAAGCAGGCTAACTATCATTAGTGCTCAGGCTACAGAATTTATCCTTGTTGAACTGGGATTTTTAAGAAGTTTAGGCAATATTCTGGTATTATGCTCTGATTGTAGGAATATGTCCACAATTATGCCATCGAATGCCTGCTTGATAACTGAGTATAGGCTTGCATGGCTGGGAGAACTCCCACAATCTACTTGACCACCTGTAAGAGGTCTTTGTAGTGGAATAGTTTGGAACTTGGGGCAAGAACTAAGAGCTATAACATATGTATCATATACTGTTATGATTCTAAGTTAGATTGAGATGTGCATTTAGGTAAAGAGTATTGGTGATCCATAAATATGAATCAACTTACTGTAAAATCTCCTGTATAAATACAAATGTGGGGGAATCAAGTTAATTTATCTCCATTAAAAAAATTAAATGGAGTTCTACTTCAGGGACAGTTTTGTTTTTTAATCTATTTTTTTTAATATAAAAAAAGAATTATCTGGAGAATGATACACAGCAAACTCCAGGAGCATGTTGTTAAAAATTGATGGCAACAATGAGTAAAGATATAGTTGTAATTGCAGGGCAATAATGTGAAAATCATTGTTGAAGATAGCAATAATATTAATCACCCTTTACACCCTAATATCAGTATACATATACTGTTCTCCACAAATATCCATAGTGGTTAACATAGAAAAACTTCTTGTTGGTGATCGTTTCCTCTATTCATGACCTTAATGTTTGATTCAGGGGTGATTTTATGAGGAGAAATTAAATGCAAGTCACTCTTAGGGTCAAAGGGGTAAAGCAGAAACCGGTGAGGATGACTTCTTTAAAGGACTTTTGACAAAGGAGTCTCTTCCAGGCACACAATTTGTTTGATTGTTGTTGGGTTGTATTATTAAAATCTTCTTTACTGAATGAAAAATAATACAAACTTCATATTCATAAGTTAAAATACAAACTGGTGAAGTGACCAATGAGAAAAATCATATTGTGCTGAACAAAGCAAAATTCTGACAAAGAGAAATGCAAAATATATGCTGCTTATGTATTTGTCTAAAAGATCTACATAAAAATCTAAACTATTGTAAATTCTCGGTGGTGCGTTCATCATGTGCATATGTCAAAACTCAAAGTAATGAATTCAGAATTGTCAGGGATGCCGAATACTTCACCAATTAATGCGATGCAACTCAATATGCAAGCACCCAAAGAAAATAATCTGTAGATCAAGAAAAGTTTTCAGTTTCGTCTTGGTAATTGAGATAGTTTAATTTTCAGGATTCCTTGGTAGTACCGTTCTCTGCAGGGCTGTCATTGCAGCAAATAAAGACAGTACATTAGCAGAAGTTGCCAATGGAACCCCCTTTAATGTAGCTATCCATCTCAAGCCAGTTCTTGCTGTGTATGCAGACATTTGTGTGAATTACAGTAATCCCGAGACGGTATTGAAAGCATTGGAAACAAAGAATGGTTTTGTTCAACTCTGTATCTCTGCTTTTAGTGCAGTAGAACTTGGAGATAATAGACTTTCTGGTCTCTTGAGAGTTCTTAATTCAGACCATTTGGTAGTATTGGATTTGTCATATAATGGATTGGCTTATTATGACAACGTCAGCGTCGATTTGTCATCGATTTTCCAAGAGATGCAAAAATTCACAAAGTTGCGCGCTCTAGCACTCTCTTATAATTCCTTGGGGGAAAGCCATTTGATGAATCTGTGTAAGGTTTTGGAGAAATTTCCATGCCTCGTATCTCTCGATCTTAATGGTAACTATGTTGGTGGTTGCATTAGACTTCTTTTGAACAGCGTCAATCAACCACTGAAGTGCTTACGATTAGAAAACGGCAGAATATGCGATAGCGGAATTAGGAGCATTGCATGTTCCAAACATTCAACTCAACTCACTGAGTTGGATATTTCTTTTAACTGTCTTTCGTCAGAATGCCTTCCTGATCTTCTCTTTATTTTGGAGACGTCCAAGAACACCTTACAAAGCCTGAACGTTTCAGGAAACGAGGTTGAAACAGTGTTAGACCTAAACTGGCAAACAATTTGTTGATCTACTCTCAGTATAGACTCTCTCAATAAATGGATTTTGGATTGTTCACTAAATAACAAAGTTTTTACGTTTCTTCTTATCTTAAAAGGTTCCGGAAGTTATTGCAAACAGAAAATAATAAAAATCTTTTCTTTCGCTGTTGATTAACGTAGTGCGTCCCTATTGTCACGGTAACTTTTAGTGATTCTCTGTCAACCGACAGCTGTTTGGTTTGAAAGTCGCTCCGACTAAAGCCTGCGGGAAGACCTTCGTTATAATGACTTCGGCACGAGCAGTTCTTCACCCGCCTGCGGGAAAGTACAAGGCCTTGAGCGACACGAGCCAGCTAGAGGCATGAAGAGGGGTCTAGCATTGATAATGATTATTAGTGCCAGATCTTTGGCAAATCAACCTCCCCCAACTCGTCTCAAATCTTACTGCGGGCGGAAAAAGAGATGAAACGCGCATCCTGCAGCGCTTATAACGAGGCCGTGCTCGCAGGCCAATCCGACTAGAAGTGAAGTGGTAATTGGTGATTAAGGGTTCGGAAATGATAAGAAAAAGGAATGAGGTGCACTTGTTTTCGAATTCTGCAATTTTTTATAAGCATTGTTTTCCCAAATAAAGCTAAATTGCTAATGCGTTTTCTTCCATTTAATATTTGATGATGTTGTCTTATGAACGTTCTAAATCTCCTTATTGAATACTTCCCATATTTTTGTTTCCTGTTTGTCTGAAAATGTCTCAACCGGGAAAGGTGAAGTTATGTATCGATCACCACTAGGTATCGACCACTTTAGAGTCAAAAACGTTTTTTGACTCTTCATGAGTTAGAGAAAGGCTATTTTCCATTTCGCCTCCTGTTTGATTGACGTGAATATTTGTAAACTTATGTTACTAGTGAAAAACTGCTCTTATGTTTTTGTCCTGCCATCTTACTTCTTGTTTTTCTTTGCCGGCTATCGCACCAGAACCTTTAAAAAATATATAATTGTAAAGGATTGAAAAAATTAACCCCACCACAGAGTCAATGAACAAGCTGAGCTAAAAGATAAAGCGTTCTTTATTTGACCACTGGAAATAACCGCGGGGTGGCTGGGTGGGTGGTCTAAATTTTCAACTGACAAAACACAAAATTCTAAAGACGTAGTTAGAGGGAGTAAATAATTAAAGGTAATGAATTTGATGTCCTCGCAGCAACCTTCTTGTGAAACTTCTGATAATATAAACCAACCACGAGACTCTCATTACCCATAGTTTTAGAAGTAATCCTGAAGAAAAAAACTGTAAATAATTGGCGATGTGCGTTTCGAAAAAAAAAAACATTGAAGTGCACATATCAATTTCTCTAGTCTTCGTTTTTTTTCCTTTGACATTGTACTCCCCGAGGGAAAAGTGGGTAAAAAAAGAGTACAATACATAGCAACTTTTGGAGTTGTTTACGCAGTTAATTAACTAGGTGGGTCGTCGGTAAGTGCTCGACTGCGAAGATGTCAAGCCGCCAGCGAATTCATCTCTCTCGTTCCTTGTAATCAGAGCTGGCTTTTGAAAATTGCCGCTAATTTACGAACCCATTATGCTTTGTCGTTGTAGTTGTGCCGAATGCCATTAAGAATTGGTAAAATTTACATAAAACTGCGTTATTATGATATGTTTTGGTTACTTTGTTTTTCTTTAGTATTCCTTGTTAGTCAGTAACAATCCATCTAACCACCTCAGTAATCAGCTTGAGAAAAGGCCCTGAACTCCTTGGTTCGTCGTTGATTTCATTCACCCACTGAATTTACGCAAGCGTGGGAAGATTTGCCTCAGGGTAACCTCGCATCTGCAGCAGATGCCGAAGTCTTAGTCCAAATAAATATATAGCTGATGAACTTGTAAAACAAAGAGAAAATTAGCCAAACCTCAACTGCTGAGGTTTTGACTAAAAGCCTGAATTGCAGCGACGAGTTTGACGCATCAGTGCGGAAGAACCGGCCTAGCCGCCTCGATTCGTTGATTTTCCAGATTGTTCAGAGTTGCATGGTCTCTGCTCTTGATTTCAATTACTATTAATAGTGTGTCAGTTCAAAGTGCACAAACAGATATACCGCCAGTGTAACAATACTAAAAAAAAAACCAAAAAAAAAAAGCAAGAGATCTGGTCATGTTTACTCACTCCTACATGCATCAAAATTGCTAATCTATGGAAATTTCTTTGAGGAAGAATCCCAGATTGACGGAAACGCAAACCGTGCGGATAGATGTAAAACTAGAAAGACTCCTTTCCAAACAGGCATTTAAAAGTTAGGCAAACAATTCATGTCACCTTTGATAACCCTTTGCTCAACACAAGAAGAAAATAATTAGTTCCAAACAGGAACAAGGAAAAAAGAATTAGCTGCCATGCGTTAAGTTACGAGGAGATGTAAAAATTAATCATTGGCAACATTAATTTCAGATGAGACAGGCCATAGGAAGAAAGCAATATATCTGCATAGAAATTTTTTTTGCCGCCTTGGGTTCCTTACATTCGACATGTAGAATTTCAAACTCGCCCGCACTAACAATTCTTGTGTAAACGTTTAGGCTTAGAGGAGGGCTTTGTTATTATTAGTATTGTTTTTATTATTCAAATTTGTTTTCCCAAGAGAATATTAGTTGTTCTCTTAGTTTTCCTAGGTAAGTTTTTTAAGAACTCATTTTTTGGTCTCGTTTTCTGGGCACTTTCATGCTGATCTATTCTTTCTCGCAATTTATTTTCTGTTACTATCTCAATCTCTTTGACTGGTTAAATTATGCTAATTTATTGAATCGCCTGAGCGAGCTTTGAAAGGTCTGAAAGGACCCGCGAGAGGTGTATTCATTCGAGAATGTTGCGTATGCAAAATTGCTGTCACGCGATAATCAAGTGGTCAACTATGACAACAATATCTTAACTCAAGCAGGATGTCTTCGAAAGTTGTTATTTGCTTTTCGTTCTTTCATAAATCGATCGATTTTTTTTGTTGTGAGAGAAAGCGTAACGGTAGCTGACATTGATATGATCGTATCGCCATTAATTCTCTGCTTTGGAGCGTTGTTCAACCTCTATGTCGCGTTGTATTGCTTTCAGTGCTCAAGATGGCGGTCGTCAAACAACTTGAAATATTTCATCGTGTTCCAGACGATTGTCAACACCGGCAATTTGTTCGCTCATCTTGTTTTGCTGCTCCGTGACGAGCTTAATGATTTTGACGAGATCGCAAGAGTGGGAGATCACACAATTTGTGACATCTTGCCCAACATCACAGCATGTTTTATGTCGCTGTCCGTGTTCAACCTTACCGCGTTTGTTGTTGTGCGCTATTTAACGAACGAGCGTCGATGGACACTGTCTGCTCTAAAAATCGTATTCACACTGCTCGGAATCGTTGTGTCATCTGGGCTGCTTTTGTCTCCAGCTTTGAGTTATTTATATCATCAAATGCCAGTTCTCAAGTGTAATGGTTGTTACTGTCCGTCACCGGGTATGATTTGGGAGGCTAATTTCGATGTATGGCTCTACGGTTATATGGTAATCTTGCTTCAGTTTGTTATTCCAGCGATCATTCTTTCTACAGCGGTGCTCAGAGGCCTTGCAAGACAATTGGAAGAGACGCGTACTTTAAGAGAGAGTTGGTACAGATGGCGGTGCGGACTTAAAAGTACAAACATCGTTACTTTAGCTGTGTGTCTCTTTATAACATTTATTCTGCCAGTGAGAGGAATTCGCTTTGTTGCCGGAGAGCACTTCTTCCCGGACAGCACGAAGCGATTCGCTGAGATTGAACTTCTAAATTCTGTTTTTTACATCTTGGAAATCTCTTGGGCTGCAATCACCGCTATATTGCCAGTTTGCCTGAAAAATCTGACTGACGATGAAATTTCTGGTGAACAGAAGAAAGAAAACAACAATGCGGGTCGAACAATGAGCCCTCAAAACAAAACCTACTGCGAGGCTTTGGTGGAATTGGAACTATGGGAATGAGGAGCATATCGAAAGACCAAAGAAATTCAAGGTAATTCGACATGAATTTTCGCCTCAACTGGGTCGCAGTAAACCACATTTCCCGAAAGTTATTAAGAAGTAAACCACAGCGTCATGTTATGAAGTAACCACTCGTAACGAGGGTAATTTATCGTTACGATTTAGTGGCAAAAGTAATTCGGGTAACTCAACATGGATATGGTACAACTAGGACGCGCTAGAAACTATTTTTTGCGAAATTAATTTTAAACACAAATCCAGCGGCTTATGTTTGAAAGTCAAATTAAACCCACGCGTGTGACTTTAAATGAATTTTCAAGCATAACAAATTATAAGTTATTTTCTATTTTGAAAACAATTCCATATTTATGCGTCATCTTCATGTAATTTTACAGCTTTAAACTGCAAAAGGCGGAGTGGTGCTGTATCGACTTGCAAATCTTATAGCCATGTAAAGCTTGTATGAAATTGATTGATAGTTCCTTCGGTGCACTTATTCAATATGCTGGTCATGTTTGCATTCTTTTTCTTCCTCCTTGTGGTCTTTCATTTGTGAAGCTGAGGTACAAAGAAGCTCTCAATGGACTTATAGTTTTTACCGCTAACGGTTAAAATTTTGGCCAATTTACGGCTAACAGTTAATATCTTTCCTTTGTTGTTGTATCAGGAAAGCTTTTGCTTTTAATTTCCTTTACGACTAATTTTTAAAATAGTTAATTTTTACACCTTGCGGCTATTTTTTTTGTCCGTTTACGGCTATCGGTTAACCCCATTGAGACCCTTTACAAAATCTAGCAAAACGTACCTGGTGGCTTTCGAGTATTCAGACCGAAATGCAAGGGTAACTATGACATCAAAAAATGTATTAGAACTTGCATCGTAATGTTGGCAAAACGTCTGGGCAACATTTATTCTTTTATACACACAATATTGAAAGGTGGCAAATTTTGAGTTTATTCTTTGTTTTGACAAAGAAAGTTATGCTCCGTAGATACTAGGACAAAGAAAAAAATTTCCCGACCACACGCATTCGAACCTCAAACGTTCGTACTTTGCAGTTACAAGGGTTTGACTTAGGTTTGAACCTCCGTGTGAAGTAGAACGCCAGCAAATACGTTACAAATAACTCATAACCAGTAAGTAACATTATTACTTATTTCTAGCTTTCAGCACAGGCGACATTTATTCTTTTGTACATACAATATTGATAGATGACAAATTTTGAGTTTATTCTTTGTTTTGACAAGGAAAATCGTGTTCCGTATATACTGGGACAGAGAAAAAGATTTCGCAACAACAAACGTTCGTCCTATGCAGTTACGAAGGTTCTACTTTAGGTCTGAACCTCCGTGTGGAGTAGAACGCAAGAAAATAAGTTACAAATAACTCATAAGTAAGTAACAGTAAGTAACATTATTACTTCTTTCTAACTTGAGGCGAGTACACGGAGCGAGATACTCGCCCCTTGCGCGCCTGAAAACGTTTAAAGAAAACCAAAACAAAAACTTGGCGCCTGTTTTGCCTTCCTATTTTATTCTTGACTCAGTTAGGTTCCATTCGGGGGCAATCAAGAGCCTAGTATTTTTAACCTCAGAGCACAACACTGTCTTTTCTACGATTTCTTCAACTGCAGCTCGCCATTCTATACCTGTATTTTGCCCGAATAAGCTGTTGCAATTACATAGCATATGAATGTGTTGATAATTTGTTTACATCATCCCAGGTGCTCTGCAATCCGTTGTATAGTGGGGAATATTATTGATTTTACTGAGACTGATATTGATCGGAAATTATGTTTCTTTGTAGTTTCGATCATTCTAGTTTACCTCTAAACGTTTTTCGATGGCTAATTCATGATGAGAGCAAAGTTTCTTTATTTTAAATTCCTCTTTGATTAACATATAGCTTCCAGGTGATTGTACGTGTGAATAATTATTTCTTTTGGTCGTTCGGTTAGAGTTTACGATTATTTCATTCATACCCATATCGCAGGCCTGGCCTGCTTAACGAGCAAGCCCTTCAATTTCCTCTTGCCTCTAAGGAAATTTTCTTTATTTGTTTAGTATTATTTTTTCCATATTCGTACATAGTTAAATTTGTCATGTTGACATGAAGGAGATTATTGTAGGATTAAGACTCAACAATACATGTTGGCATGTCGCTGATTTGACGCTGAACCTGTCCATGCCATTTCTTGTACCACTAAATGTAAGTAGAATAAACATCAAGGTTTAATAGGATCAGCAAGGAAATGAAATCTGTTATAAACGATTATGAACGGCAAAGAAACATGAGCGAACGTTTGTAAGGTCTGAAAGTATCGTCAGATATTATATTTTAACTAACAAGCCTTATGTATCAATTATTATTTAATCAATTATATTTAAATTGTTGTAACGCGATTATTTTACGATCTGGTGAAAAGTTGTGTAACTGAACCTTGTGTAAGCAAGAAAGATTTGAAACCAAACATTCGGTGAAAGATTGAATGTCTCGCTTTAAATTTTACTGACTTAAGTACGAATTAAGTATCCTACTCTCTTAATACATAAACCCTTTAATTGTAATTAGCATTTAATTTCTCCATACGATATCACCCCTGAATTAAACACTGAGGTCAGGAGAATAAAGGAAATGATCAACCACTAAAGAGACTTTTGATTGCTCAACAAGCTCTCCTTGTCAGCACCTTTGGAAATGTGCAGAGAACAGTATGGAGAATATGCATGCTGATGATGTAAAATGTGAAAAGGTTTTTGAGTAACTTTAACGTTGTGGCTATTCAAAATTCTCTTGATGGGTTCCGTAACACCCTACCGGAATGTAAGGAATAACAGCAAAACCAGTTGCTGGTTCCTTCTCATCATTGCTACCAGTAACAACTACAAGTTACAACTAGTAACACTCCTGATGAGAAGGAACCAGCAACTGGTTTTGCTGTTATTCCTTACATTCAGAGGGTGTTACGGAACCCATCGAGAGAATTTTGAATAGCCACAACGTTAAAGTTGCTCAAAAACCTTTTCAGACTGAAAGGTATAGTTTTGCCAAACCTAAGGATCCTGTTACGCAAGAACAACGAACCGACGCTATTAAGTCTATTCCGTGCAATTACCGTGATCACGAGTAATTGCACGGACAGACCAAACGTCAGTTTAGTACACGTTTGAAAGAGCGTCAAAAAGCGGTCCTCTTTTGCGAAAAGGAAAATTCAAGAATACATGGTCGGTTGTGAGACCTGTTGTACATATCTTTTTTACATATCTTTTTTAAAGTTTGTTTTGTTGTGATGCGTAAGTTATTCGTCTTTGGCCTACTCTGCAGACGGTTTGCACACTACACTTGCAACCCCTGGCACCGTTAGACCAGGCGGCGCCCTGATTTTTCGTCTTTTCCTGCACAGTATCACGTTACGCAGATGTTCTCGAAAACTCTTAATGCGCAAACTGTACACTCCAGGATTAACGCACGAGTTGAGCACAATCAGGACCTCTCCTGCGTCATTGAACCTCTGTACACCCACGCCCCAGATCACTGTGACATGACTTATTAGGGCCGGAATCCAACAGATTGCGTAGATCGCGCTGACCACCAGCAGCGACACAGTCACTTGTTTGCGATGGCGAAGAAGAGCCGTCTGAGAAGCTTTCAATTGTGCACTCTCAACTGGCTTGACCCACAGGCGATACGCTACTCTGGAGTATAGGCATACCATAATGCACACGGGAACCACGCCTCCGAAAAGCATCCAAATGAGGCTGTGCGCTTTGAAGAATCTTTCGTCGGTGGTGTTAAAGTTACCACACCTCTCGCACGAGCCGGAATCGAAATAATAGTACTTGACCTCCAATAGGTCAACCATGTTGATCACAATGGAGACAAACCATGCAATGCCAATCAGTAATTTCAGACGCCCTTTGGTAAACTTTCCTCGATGACGAAGAGGATGGATTATGGCTAAGTAACGTTCAATGGCGATGTAAACCAAAAAGAAAATGGAGGCAGCAGCACCAAACCAGGCGATGTCTCCGTGTGTAAACCAAACGCACAACCAGCGTCCTGCCTCTCCCTCTGGGTGGGTTAGGTATTGAAAAAGTCCTTTCTTGAGACCAGTGGGCAAAGCGAACACCATGTCGGCCACGGCGAGGTTCACCAGTAAGTAGTTGAGTGTGGTTTGCATGGGTTTGTTCAGAAGGACAGTTAGAATGACCAGCGTGTTGCCGATCAGGGATGTGAGTACAAGGATTAAACACACCGTGTCCATAATGATGAGAGAGGCTGCCTGAGAAACGGCCATCTTAAAATGACAACACTCAAATTAGGTTTGCATTGATTAATTATATGCGTATTTGGTACCACGAGGAACAGTTGGAGACGAACAATCAATGTTCTTAACTTAGTCGAGCATAAATAAGATGTGATCTTAATTATAAGAAACCCTTCCACAGCGCAAACCATTCATTAGTTGTCTGTAACACTTATAATAAGATACCTGAAAAAATCACTCAGTTCTGATTGGTTAAGATTTCAGGTAATTCAATGAAGAAGAGGGTTAATTCAGCCAGATTGAACAATTCCTTGAACTGTTTAGTTAGACTTTGAACTTTTATGCGCCTTAAAGATGTGAAAATATTATAGCATATTAATGTTTTGATCGTACGCGATTGTTTTGACCGAACGCACAATGTCATTTGCAGGGCTTGATTAAATTATTTTTGCACCTGATGCGCGCACTTTGCTTCTGCATAATTATGATAAGCTATCTCGTATTTTTTTATGTATATTGATAATACGTAATCGCATGATTTTTCTCGTGCAATTTGGTATGAATAAGCACTTGTAAATTTTTTCAAAGACAAAAATTGCACGAGCCCGTGAGGCTCGTGCAATTTTGTTAGTCTTTGAAAAAATTCACTCGTGCTTATTTATTCCAAATTGCACTCGAAATCATGTGATTACCTATACTAAATGCATAAGAGAGATCACAAACTTATGCATGATAATAAAATCCAAAAAAACACACATTGGAAATCCCACAAACACAAATGATATATTTTTAAAAAATTTAACCTAACAAATAAGATCGTCACAAACAAATGTTTTGAAAATATAACTTTTAAACTTCTTTTTAGTACAAAGTATGAACACCGTTCTATTTCAGAATTTCTGATGTAATGTATTACCACAATCTTGGGACACACTTGGGAAATGCTAAGTCCCCGTGAGATTTAGTTTGAGAAAGTTTTTGGAAAATGAGTCTTTGAGAATCTGAACGAAGTGCGGCATCTATGAATATTTACTTACGGTTTGAGGCGTTGCACTCAGTGGCAGGTGTGGTTTTTTCGTCTCATGCGAGAAACCAACAAGAGAAACGCAAAATTCTCTTCATCAGGATAGTATCGCTTGGAAATCACTGTGCGGAAGATAAAAGCTCTAGATAAAAGTGCAGTTTTACAAGGCTGTAGAAAAAAGGAAATGCTGTCATAGATAAGAAGACGTTAGGTTGGAAAGCTTGAATTTTCGTGATTATTGATTTTTTAAAGTTTTTTTTGTTGGACAGCCAAACATATGACAGTCGACTTAATTAAACTCAAAGCAATCATACGTATACAAGAAGGAAAAAAAATAAACAAACACGTAATGAGTTTTGTCATCGCGTTTCTCTTCCCATACTGCCCTTTAATAACAATTATAACACCTTGAATTGACCATTTGTGGTTGGAAAGAGATTGAAATATGGTATGATTTTTAAATTGTCTAACTCATGCTTGAACGTTCCTTTTCATTTAAAATTTTCAGGGATATCGAGGTATTTTCTGTTTGACTTAGATATCCTATTGATTGTGTTTAAGCAGCTGCATGTTCTGTACTCAAGCAATATAGTTTTGAATTTTAAAACTAAATTTCAATCCTCCCATGCAAAAAGGGGAATGCAATTTATTTTGATTAAAACTGTTAGGGGACCATGAAATATAAAAGTGTTCGCTTTAGGTATTCTTACGGGGTACTGAAAAGCAATATCTGTTGAAAAGGATTTTAATCTTCTTCTGTTTCCTGTACACAGAAACCTCGTAATTAAATTGAAGCCAAGGTGTGCAGTTTTGTCGTACAGAGATCTTTCCGATTGAGTGTCAATAAAAAAGGTAAAGTTATTATAACAGACATTCAGAACAAAGAGAAGGAAATGGGAAAGGGAAGGAAATTACTAATTCACCATAGAAAGGAAGACGAGTTAGTACTTCACTCGTGATAAACAATTCAGGATTATTTACCTCGAATGAATGCAACCCCATCAGCGCGCAGTCGTTTTCATTTCTGTTGTAAAACCTTTCAGTTAGGTACACTCATGTTAGCTAATAGACATCGATAGACAGTAGAGCCAATAAAGTGCCGATTGCTTTCGAAAGTTCCTTTTCGCTCCTCACTTTCTACCAATGACCAATATACGTACCTTGTTCTGATATTGCAAAGTTATTTCCCCTTTCATGAAAAATTTCATTTGTATTAAAAAGATACTCTGCCTCATAATAAAAAATATGAAATATGAAATGAAGTAAACGTTTAATAAAAAGACGCCTAATGTGGTTTTGGTTTTTGTTTTTCTTATCCCTCTCTGATATTACGTTACTGTCTGATCACGTGCAGGTAAGGTTTTGATATATCACGCAATACGTGGGTATAATTTCTCAGTGTTAACGAAAGAGCCATTATTTGATTGGCTTCTATATTCAGTTAGTAGAAATCTACTTGCGTTCTCAAATACTGCGATCTGATTGGCTACGCTACTCGATATTTAATCCGTAATAATGTGTGTGTAGCTCGACAGTATTTGGTTGTAAACAAAACGTGACAAAAAAATTAACCTGTCATTTTGTTTAGTTTTTAAGAAGGCTTGTACTAAAACAATTAATTATTCGCTATTTTTAATAGGCGCAATGGCTGATTCGGGCCGCTTCTACCTTTTCAACCATAGAAATCTCGAGATCAAAATCTTATCTTTGAGTAAAATATTGATGCCAAATATTCAGACTATTTAGTTGTGCAATAGCAAAGAAACGCTGATTGTGCTTTTTGTATTTACGGATTTTGCTTTCCCTCACTTCGCAAGTGGTTAATACTTAAATTCATGCGACTCTAGCGAATTTCTTTCCATTTTAATAGGCTGTCAGTTACAGCAGGAAAGAGAAGTGAATGTTTGAATATGCAGCAGGTAAACAACGACTGTACTATTTGTAACCACGGACAGCTTTTTAAACTTTTTACACTCAATGTCAATTAAATGACCTTGCTATCAGATGCGGTTTCGACCTAAATTTCTGCGGCTTAAATCGATTAAATTACTCTTCTTAGACCTCACGATACAGCGAAATTATTTCCTTGTATAATTGTACTTTACAATCGGAAAAAAGCTGGGTATAAGTTAAATATTCACGCACAGCTTTCCAACCCTTTTTCAATTAATTCTGCTACGGGCGGAATTTTCGTAGCTCTACTCCAGTAAATCTCTTTCCATATTAATGGCGGGCACGGAGTTAGAACAGTTCAGTCGTCAATATATTGTTATGCAACATGAAAGAAATATTGACATCCACTCAACAAGTGTTGATCAAACGACCTCGCTTTCATCAACCGTGCTTCACTTGAAATTTCTGTGAGTTTGCT